TCGCCCTTAAAATGACTCCCTTGGAATATCGAGAGCAGTCGTAGCACCCCCCCCCACTACCGGCAGGCTAATGACCAGGTTCTGAGGCGCCTTGTGACGGCACAGTGACCGCTGCCACTGGGGGGGGGGGGTTCCCCTTTCAGACGTGTTGAGGTGAGATGTGAATACCTCTGAGACGCCCCAACATATATATAGGAGGATATTCTATCAAAAACAAATGATGATCATCGTTTGTGTCCATGTTGTCCCCGCCGTTCTCAATCGTGGTTGCATACTAATAAAATAACCCGGTGTCGGACATACGAGGACAACGTTTATCATCCACGCTGGCGGATCGATCATGCGATCACTTTCGTGTTCGACTTACAGCATTGAATGTTTTGAGACTTGCGCTTAATGCAAAGCTGTACGTCTTTCGCTCTTCATGCAGGTCTACTGATCTCCATGTAATCCTGTTTACATCTGTGGCGGGTCTCTGAGTCTCTAGATCTCTAAGTCCATGTAAATAGACTGCTGGTTTATTTAATGGGCTCTTACCGGGTATAAATAAAAACTACTTATTTGGTGACGCTGCTGCGTTGGCAGAAGTGCATTAATTAAAAAAACTCAACACAATCGGCAATAACACTGTAGTCCCTAAAAATGTAATAATAGCAATATAGATAAGACGTTTCCTCTGGCCTCTATGTAGCTGTGAAGAAGGACCATTTCCCAAGACGTCATCTTGTATATATTTTATTATTTTCAGTCCCACACAGTGTTAGTGACGAACGTGCCGAGTGCATTTTTGTGATTAGAAACAGCAAAGGTCATCGTGTCACTCCGGCTTGAATTTACCGCACACAGCCCCGCGGTCTGCGCTGATCGCGACAACGACAGCGCCGATCGCGACGGGGTCGTCCGCCTGCGCCGTGGCTCACGGGTCGTGCCGGTGGCCCGTGCCGAGTGGGTGCGCTTCGTCATCGGGTTACCGCCGCGTTGCTTCGCGTCAACGTTGACAGCTCGCGGTCACGTGGCCGCCTGTTTTTGGTGCGACGAGTTGGGCCGCTGCTGTTTTTCCGCGCGTCTGAATTCCTCCTGAATTCCTCCGCTGCTTCTAGGCAGGTGGCTGGCGGCGCCCATGAGCCCGCACGCCGCTCGCGATTATCAAGTTTGTAACGAATTTTTTCGATTTAAAGCTTTTGTGACTGCAGGGATTCATCTTCTTGGTTCTTTCGGTAAAGTCAAATTCTTTTGTCAAGGCTCTCTTCCTCCTCCCTCACAGCTTAAATAGACACTCCAAGCCTAAGACGTGTCATTTAGACTGTCTTATCGACAGACATGTTCTTCACCTGAGGACGGCTGCTTGCGTTGTGGCCGAAACGTCGTGAGAATTATTTTATTATGTTTTATTTTTATTATTTTATTACTTCCCTTCTACGTGACTTTACCGAAAGAACCAAGAAGAAGTTTGTAACGCTCACACGATGTGAATGTAAATAAATGAAATGTGAGGACGATGATGCCATACAAAAGCTATGGCGTATTTTGGAGAATTATTTTTTGCCAAGCACGAATGCACTCGTTAAATGAAGCACTCATTTAATGGAGTAATAGGCACTGTACTCTGTGAGAGTCTAATGTTCTACGTGTGAGTGTATGGTTCAATATGTGAATCTATCTTGTTGCGTTTTTCATTTTAACAATTTTTTGTCTGGACGTACAATATGTTTCTTTATTAAACTGGGCAGGGCGATATTTATCATAACGGGAAATACGATCAGTGGGTATTATTCCGTAGATGTGTGGTGGTGGTGGTGGTATCAGCGTGTCGCGGAAACCCTTCTGCAGTGTCAAGGCTAGGACTGCACCTGGACGGGGTGCAGATGTTCGCGCTTGGAATACAGTGACTGCTCTGTTTAGCTATTTGATTAACTTATTTTTAAATCCTTTATATTAAGTTCACTTGCGTGCTTGCGTGCTTGCTTGCTTGCTTAGGACCGTGCAAATCTTTTGGTCGTTTTTTAACCCACTTCCCGTGATCCAATCGAGCTGACATTTTCCACACAGACTCGTTGTGCGTAACAATTAATGTTCGTGAACATTTTATTCAAAATTTTACACTGTTTAGGGAAAGGAAAAAAAATTAATTACCAATTGCTTAATGGTGGCAGACAATCATCTGACCCATAGGTGGCAGCCATCTCAAGCCAGAGGACGAGAGGACTCTAGCCGCCACGCATATAAAGGATTTATAGTGAAAAACTTTCTTTTTACGGGTTAATTTTTTTATTTTACCAGATAAGGCCCCACTGAGCAATGTAGCTCGTTTTCAGAAGCAACGTGGCTATCGCAAATGATAGCTCAACTCGATGGCTTATCATGTGGAAATTTATAGCAGCCAAATACTCTAAAAGCACGTGCGTATTAACTATATTATTTGGGTCTTTCGGTAAAGCCACGTAGATATAAACATTTTTTTAGAATATGAATTCCTGCAGTCGCGAAAGCTTTAAGTCACATATTAACTATGATAATACTGCTGCGTGGCCGTTTGCTTCACTCACAGCGGTCTTTACAGATCCATTGACATAGTTCGCAAGAGTGGGTCATTGAGTGCCAGCTTCATGATCCAGATATGCCAAGTTTGAATATTTTGTGGACTGTAAATCACTCGTTTGGAATCTACAGGGCAGTAATCACCACCCTCTTCTGTGAAAACTTGGCAAAACCCTCCTGAGAAAAGAGGCATGAAACCCAAGGGAGGCTTTCGTGAGTAATCTCACGTAATAAATTGCACAATTAAGTTGGCATTAAAGTTTCTATGCTATTTATCAAAACCACTCGGGAATTCATGGCGCGTGTTGCATTTTTCTGCCCCTGAATCTCGATTTTACTCGCTCGGTGTCAGAAGTAGAGGACAAATTCACTCTAGAAGAAGCAAAACCTTGTCCCGAGCGCTGAGCAGAACGGTAAGCTGACACGGCGGCACAGTTGACATGCCGGGGTGTAAATCATATCAGTGGTGGCTCTTGAGCGAGTGTACGATGGGGGGGGGGGGAAGTCTTCCTGGCGTTTCGCCGCTGAGTTGCAGCCATGCGTCCCTGGAAAATGAGATTTGGGTCTTCCCAATCGACGTCCTCACCCGCTCCTGGTGGGACGAGCGTAGTGCACGCTCCACAAGGCCGCCGGTTCCAGTAGGAACGGCGAAGCCCTTCCCGTGTTTTGAGTGTGACACACCTCTTTCTGTCGGGTGCAACAGTGAAAGCTCACGGGGATTTCCTGCTCAGATATCCCCTCGTGTGTGATTAGCCCGTTACTCCAAAAACTGCTATTAACGTTAACTATTTACATGCCAATTTTAAAACTCGGTCATCATAAATGTTTTTTTTTAGTTCTCATCAGGCCCCCATGGTATAAACAGGTGCCGTCTCCAGCTTTTATGATCCCCCGTGTTTCTCTCCCTCCATATACCGTATGTGCTGTGAAGAAGGATTATTGCCTGAAACGTCTATTTATATATTTTTTCTTTTAAGGCCACGCAGTGTTATTGACGGATGTGTTAAGGTTTTGTTGGTTTGTCCTAATGTGAGGAGAACGTATTTTTTTTAAACTGCTTGTTGTTGTGTTTAGTTTATTGTCCTTCCCCCGATTATCATGGTTGGCTACATATGGTGCAAAAGAGGACACTTGAAGGGATGTCGGAGGTAGCTCTCCGATATCCGCTACTGTGGGCCGTTCTCTAGCACCAAGTTTTACTCATCTCATGGCGCGACGTCGACAGCACAATCGGGATAACGCTGGGGAAAGACACAACGTGTTGATGTGTGGAATAATCTTGCAAAAGCCTGGCTTTTGTAACGGATGGACAGAACTAACACATAAACCCGTTCACTCTTGCTTGGAAAGCATGATGTGCTGCTTGAATGAGCATCGAGATGCATTGATGCTCATCTCTCGTTTACAGTCCTACAGAGCCAGTGGTGGAAGTTCCTCATTCCTATTGACTTCCCCACACAGTGGTATTCACTTTGTCGACCCTGGAAAGGTGATGGGCTGAGTCAACCCCTAAACCCTGTGTATTTGGAGTTTGCGTGTATCTCTCCCCGTGGTGCCGTGAATTTTTCTCCAGGTCCTCCGGTTTTTCTCTCCACATTTAGAAACATGCGTTTAGATTTTTTGGCTGTTATAATTTTCCACATGATAAGCCACATTTTTGAGCTATCATTTGTGGCTAGGTCGCTTCTGAAAAAGAGCTGTATGCTCAGTGGGCCTTTCCTGATAAGATAAACATAGTTTATACACTGTGGGTGTGATTTATTTGTTTATTAGCTGCGTACTGGGCCTTGGTCATAGAGGCTCATACACGTAACTATATATAGAGACCCACGGACTTACAGAGAGAACCATAGCCTTACATAGTGTCCCATGGATCCGCATAGAGAACCATAGATTTGCAATGTTTAATTGTGACCGCATCTCAAGACTCTCCATCAAAACCGTGAGCATGTTTATTTTATCGAGAGAGAGGCAGTCAGTCACAGCCAGAGGAGTAAGAGGAAGGTTTTGAGCCTTGAATTGAACAGAGACGGGGAGTCGACAGCACAGATGACTGGAGGAAGGCAGTTCGAGACTTTGGGAGCAACAGAGGACAATGAGCGACCACCCCACTGAGCGTTGGTTGACTCTGGGCTTCCACAGTAAGCCTTGGTTGCTGGAGCAGAGAGAGTGCATGGAGGGGAGGCGAGTGAGATAAGATGAGAGACGTAGGAGAGTGTGGAGGGGAGTACAGTGAGATGAGGGGAGAAATAGGAGAGTGAGTTGAGGGGAGTAGAGTGAGGTGAGAGAAGGGAGGTAGGAGAATGCATGGAGGGGAGTAGAGTGATATGGGAGGTAGGAGAGTGCGTGGAGGGGAGTAGAGTGAGGTGAGAGGGAGAGTGAGTCCACAGAAGTTCTTGAAGATGGTGATCGTGATCCTGCTTTCAATCATCTGAACCCCTTGTCCGTTTACTCACTTGCAGATCTGCTTCCTGCTCTTCACCACGCTCTACATTGTCTCCTACGTCACCATCACGAGATACAAGAAGAAGGCGGACTTCATATCAGGTGCCCCCTGAGCTCCATTATCTGCGTCAACAACGGAGTGGCTCTGGTGGATTACCGGTCTCTCCTCTGGACGCGCCCTCCGGGAGATGTACACAGCGGTGTTCCCTCGTGATTCGTGAACTTGCTATCCGCGATTTTGGCTTTCCGCGAATCACATCTGGAACTCTACATGACTGCATCGAGAGAGAGCAAGTGATGAGAGCAAGTGATGAGAGAGAATGTAATGAGATAACATGATGAGATAACGTGATTAGAAAGATAGAGAGAACTTCTCGAAGCTTTATAAGCATCTGCAGATGTTGCGCGTACAATATTCATAGGCCAATATCATTGTTGTCCTTCCCCGCACCTCCGATTAGCACGGTTGGCTATGTACGGTGCGAAAGAAGTTCTACATACATACATACATTATCCGCAACATTTTTTATTCACGATGATCATGAATAATGAGGGAATACTAATGTAGTGCGGCTCTACAGCAGAGCAGTGGCTATAACTAACCAGCCTTCTGTTCGGCTGATGTTGATATGGAGCAACAACCACAATTTCACATTTAAACGGTTGAGCCAGATGATTGCGTCAGGAGTACTGCATCACTGCTGCATCACTGCTGCATCGCTGCTGTGATTATGCCTTCTTCTACAAGTTAATTTATAGATCTCTGTATGAGTCTAATGTTCTCTATGTGAGTGTATGGTTCTACATGTGAATCTATAGATCTCTGTACGAGTCTAATGTTCTCTGTGTGAGTGTATGGTTCTACATGTGAATCTATAGATCTCTGTATGAGTCTAATGTTCTCTGTGTGAGTGTATGGTTCTACATGTCAATCTATAAATCTCTGTATGAGTCTAATGTTCTCTGTGTGAGTGTATGGTTCTACATGTGAATCTATAGATCTCTGTATGAGTCTAATGTTAACTGTGTGAGTATATGGTTCTGCATGTGAATCTATAGATCTCTGTGAGTGTAATGTTCTCTGTGTGTATGGGTCTCGTGTGAATTTATAGAGCTCTGTGAGTCTATGGGTCTCCATATGAGTCTGTGGGTCTCGGTGTGAATTTATAGACCTCTTCTTGTGAATTAGCCATTGAGTCCTGTCAGGTTCCATGGTATGTTCGGGGGGTGAATACAGTCGCACACCACCAGAGTTTTTAAAATCCTGTTTGTCCCCTGCCTGTGGGGCATGTACATTCCTGTTGAGGCTCTTATCGCTGCCAGGTGTGGGTAACAACCCACACCTTGGGACGTGGTAGTGGTTCGCGTAGATGTGTGATGCTTCCAAACGTGCTGGGTTTCACGGCAGCCATAAGATGGTAATACAACTGTTCGGTTTGTGAACCCATCTGTGTGGACATTTAGCGTAATTCCCCTCCTATCTTGGTTTTTTTGGGGCACTGCGGTTCCATCCCATGCGCGAAACCTACGTAATAAGAATAATAATAAGAATGCAATTTGTAATGCGCCACACAATGTCACGGACATCACTTCTGACCCGCCCTATATTGGACATCTGTAAAAAAGAGATTTGAAGCTTATCGGATTCCTCCAGTACAAATACATATTCTGACTGATTTATAAATGACCGTAACTATGGAGCCAGGTGAAAGAAGGTGTGGGGCCTTTAAGATAGAGGTATGCATGTATGTATGTTGAACTTCTTTTGCACTGTACGTAGCCAACCGTGCTATTCGGGGGTGCAGGGAAGGATAACACATTAAAGACAAAGCCAGTTCTAAATAAATGAGTTTTTAAACTAGGTGATTTAAAAGTACATATCTCCAGTGGCTTCCTAATATCAGAAGGAAGAGCGTTCCAGACGGCCGCAGAAGTGCATCTGAAAGCGCGCATTGCAGTGACCGTCTTTGTTCGATGGCTAGCCAAAAGCCGCTCGAGTCTAAGTGTCTCAAAAAGTCAGTGGCAGTCCCGGTCCTCAGTGTAGACATTTATTATGTTCTGAAAATATCTTGAGACTCACTCAGTAAGGCTTTGCCAAGTTAACAAATAACATTTCTAATACAATCTTGATTTAAAGCTTTCGTGACTCTTTGGTTCTTTCGGTAAAGTCACGTAGATATTAAAAAGTAATAGATCGCGACGTTTCAATAGCAACACAAGCAACCGTCATCAGGTGAAACAAACACAGCAGGAGATCTGCTGACGTAGGAGAAAGAGCTGCTGCTATTACAGTGGAAATCGCATGGGGGGGGGGGGGGGTGGCGATTAATTAAACGTTCACTCTTACAATAGACCCCCAGACCTGTGCTTAAAGTTTCGCATTCGAATAGGAAACACCATTCACACAGCGCTTATTTTTCCAGCTGCCAAACCAATGAATTACGTTCACGTGACGGAACACGTGCAATGACTTGAGGAGCTGTGCCAGAACCTTCTCTGCGTTTTCTTTGCTCGCCTGGCCTCAACATCGGGCTTGCTTGCGATAAACAGCCATAGATCAAATTTTAAGCTGGAGCACCCCCACCGAGAGTGCATAAGCAGATGGGTGGACTGCGTTTGCAAGTATTTGTCAACGCGCGTGTCGATTTCGCTTGCCAAGCCCCGGCGGTAATTGCCGGAGAAGCTCTCGGCACGCGAGCGACGAGACGTATGCCCTTCCTGGTCCTTGTTGCTGGCACCTGCAAACGTCAACAGCCAACCCAACGTGGTCGCCACTGCCATCACCATCACCACCTGAATCTGGGAATCACGGCCGCGGGAGACAAATACTCTAAACCCGAGAGAAACTCGCATTACCACTTTTTGCACGGTGGTGGTGGGACATGTGTGCTTACGATGCAAGTCTGCACACATTCTTTAAATAACAAAATAATTTACATTTTGCCGTAATTTTATCCCGATTGTGCGATCTATCAAACTAAACTATAAACTATTTTTAAATCCTTTATATTAAGTTCACTTGCTTGCTTGCTTGCGCGCTTACGACCGTGCAAATCTTTCGGTCGTTTTTTTACCCACTTCCCGTGATCCAATCGAGCTGACATTTTGCACACAGACTCGTTGTGTGTGACAATTTATTTTCGTGAAAATTTTTTCTCCAAAATTTTACACTTTTTAGGAAAAAATAAATTATATTTAATTACCAATTGCTTAATGGGGGCAGGCAATCATCTGACCATAGGTGGCAGCCATCTCAAGCCAGAGGACGAGAGGACTCTAGCCGCCACGCATATAAAGGATTTATAGTGAAAAACTTTGTTTTTACGGGTTAATTTTTTATTTTATCAGGTAAGGCCTACTGAGCTATATAAAAAATTTCAGAAGCGACCTGTGGAGGGAAAAAGTGGAGGTCCCGGAGAAAAATCCATGAGACCACGGGGAGAGAGACATGCAAACTCCAAATATACAGCAGCAGGCGCCAGGGTTGGGATCGAACCCACGACCTCCTGTATACTAGGCGAGGTAGTTAACATCTCCGAGCCAATGCGGCGCCACCGTAACGACGGGAGGCTGCCCGCAGGATGGGAGAGCGTTGCCGGTCCGCGTCATCATCGGCGCTGTCAACAAAAAACCAACGACTCCTTGGTGCTCCTTAACTAAATACTCTCAACGGAGAGAAACTCGCGTTTCCACTTGTTGTTTGGTGGTGGTGGCGGTGGGACGTGTGTGCTTGCGATGCAAGTCTGCACAGATTGTTTACATAATTAGTTGGTGTTTTTCTGCAAATTTGATACCCGATTATGCTATTATCAGTCGCAACTCTCACAGAGCAGTGCGACCCTTCGTGTAGGAGGATGATCCGCCGAACCGAACACCGTGAAGCTACCCCTGAGATCCCTTTAAGTCGAGAACTCTGATCCACACGCAGTAGGGGGCAGCACTTTCCCCCTCGCTCTGCTTACGAGAGTAATGTTCGCCACGTGACAATTCCCATTGATCATTATTTTCTCAGGACTGGCATTTAGGTGTTTTCTCTGCAGTGGTGGGTGACTGGGCCTAGACCAGGGGTCGGCAACCTGCGGCTCCGGAGCCGCATGCGGCTCTTTACGGGCTGCTTCTTGACGATATGTACAGTATGTACTCAGATGCATTGCGGCTCTTGAAATACTGAATTTTGTACCGAATTGGAAAGAAATGGCTCTTCTTGTTATTTTGGTTGCCGACCCCTGGCCTAGACCATCAACTCACTGCACTAATCAGGTTGTCTGAAGTTGAGGCCGGGATCTCAGCGGAGCCAACTTGGCACTCTGCACCATGTTCTTGTGAACGCGCGTGATAAGGGGTTCTTCCAAACACGTTATTACCGTTTTTCCCCCCGAGTCCCTTTAAAACTCCGTTTCAGCTTCACCATTAATCTCACTTGCTTGTCTGATGGTGTTATTTTTTATTGAACTTCGGTTGTACAATACTCACAAATGTGTCCTTGTAAAGTTGCTAAATTTACTATCTGACCGGGCGAATGGTCTGTCTAACCTTCAGGCCAAATCTTGCCCCACGTTACCTTTTAGCACATAAAGTCAGTGCCACGGCAGACAATCTGTCCTGCATCCACTCGAACTTGCTTGCCCTCAAAGGTTTTTCAGGGCAGTGGTGACTATGCTCCTGGCCTGTAATCTAGCACCGTGGAGGCAGCGAGGGTTGGCGGATCAACGCACGAATGTCTTCAAACTCCCTTCCTGTGGACGTTGCCAGGAGAAGTCTGGTACAGAAAATGTGGACTCCACCTGTTCCATCTCTGGTATAAAGTGTTACCCCCTCACATGTGTGAGTGGAAGAGGTGGGACAAAGTCATTGTTATGCAAGTCCAAGTCGAGTTGCAAGTCTTTGTACATTTTGCCGAGTCGAGTCTGAAGTCATCAAATTCATGACTCGAGTCTGACTCGAGTCCAAGTCACATGACTCGAGTCCACACCTCAGAGGTGGGACAAAGTCATTGTTATGCAAGTCCAAGTCGAGTTGCAAGTCTTTGTACATTTTGCCGAGTCGAGTCTGAAGTCATCAAATTCATGACTCGAGTCTGACTCGAGTCCAAGTCACATGACTCGAGTCCACACCTCTGGTGAGTGGTATATGGGTGCTCTGGTTTTCTTCCCCTTTGTAAACTCACTAATTAGCTGATAACACCGTCATATATAGAGGGCCGCAGAACTTGGGGGGGCAATTTTCTGTCGGCTCACAATCATGTGGCTGCTGTCTGTGGTTCCTCCTCATTCCTCTGAATCGTCCTCTTTCTCTCTTTGAGGGCGAGCAACTATTGTGTGGTAGCACGTTACAAGTTTAAATAATTATTAATAAGTTTAAACAATTATTAATAATAGTAGAATATTTCGTGATTTGTACTGGGCTCTAGTCAAATAAAAAAAACAATTTTAAAAATAGCCGTAGAATACTACTTTGAACGAAACGAGTTGCTAAGCGAGCAGCAAGCCGTTTCAGTCATCCATTCATCGGCTACAAAAATTTCTTACGCTCCAGATACGTGCGGCGAATTGTGAACGTCTGCCATCCTATTGTAGAGAACTGGCTCCCACCATGACAATGTGGTCACTTTTGGTGGGAAAGAAAAACTCACAAACGCCGCTCCTCTCTTTCCCCAGCAATTCGCTGAATTGTAGAAAATGATATCTTGAGAATCTTTTTTTTGTGACATCGCGGCAAATGGCAGCGCCTTTCCAGTGGCTGTAAGAGTGACCTTAACCCCATCGTGCAATGCACGACCCTGAAATAAAAACTGGAAGAATCGACAAATCGTCATCACCCTGCTAATTGGTCACCCCATCGCTTGGTTGAGCAGAGTCGTGGTTTGATCATTGAGCTTTACCATTGTCCATTGTGCTCGTATCCTATGACCGCATCACGCGGAATGCACCCGATCTCGTCGGATCTCGGAAGCCGAGCAGGTTTAAGGCAGGGCAATGTTGCATGGGGTGACAACTGTCCATTAAATGGGTGTTATAGGTTTTATTTCAGCACAGGTTAAATCCATTGGGTATAAATGCAATTTTTATTCGATAGTGACCTGGGTACAGATACCTGGTTACAGCAAAACAATAACGAGAACAAAGCAATCCACAAACGACTGTACAGGGTGACGTTCCAGTGCAAACCGTACAAGGCTGGTAGCACGCATCGCATACAAACCCCCCATTAAGATTTCACAGCAGAGCGATTAATTTCACCAATGTCACAGGCGGCTGCTGTGCTGTTGGTAGCAGGGGGGCAATGCAGAAATACGCTCCAACATCTCTGCTCCTCCACATCCACCAAACAGCACTGACCGGTGTGGTGAAGTATGGTAAAACGACCCCCCACCGACGACTCTCATCCAGCAGCGGATTGACACGATGGGCCCTGTTTGTGTACACGTAGAAAAGAGTTTGTAAGCCACGTGTAAATGTTTTGAGTGGATGGCGAAGGGCGACTGAGAGTTTGTATTGTTAGGTTCCTCGCCTGCGGCGGATCTGCGTGGCGAGCGATGAGAGGGCAGGGAATGATGGGACTGTGTCGAGCACGTGCACGGACTCGCACGCCCTCCCACGTCCTCCCACAGGCCACCCACAGCCCCCCCACAGGCCCCCCACAGGCCCCCCACAGCCCCCCCACAGGCCCCCCTGGGTTCGGTGTGGGCTCTGGCAGCAACGGGGATTGAAGTGAAAAGCATTACTAGCGACAACCTAAACAGCATGCAAACAATTGTGACAAATTGATTGGTTGGCGCTGCTGCTGCTGCGTTGACAGTGGTGCAAGAGCAACAAATAACAACAAATCTCAACAGAATCAGGATATTTATTTATAGTGGAGGAATCCGATGAACTCTATGAAGCTCTTTTTCACAGATGTCCAGTCGGGGCATGGGGGTGACAACGTTACAACAACAAATAATACAAAAACACAATCGGAATGCAAAGTACAGTATAGGAAAGGTAAACAAATGACCCTCACTGAAAAACATTGGGAGAAACCCAAGAAACCGAGACGCATAAACCCAAGAAACCCAAATGAGTACCTGGTGCGTTGTGTTAAACATCAGCATTGGAACAGACGTGCTGCTGACCATCACCCCCGCTCGTGTGCCTTGCTGGCCGGCCTTAGGGGCTCGTAACAGCACTTGCCCCAACAGTCTGTGAAAGGCTATCAGGGGATCTTTGTGTTTGTGTGTGTGTTGATGGTCATTTCCAGCAGCAGTTTCTCAACTGCAGTCCTTGCAAACCCCCTACAGCCGTCCTGGCGGCGGTGGCTACGCTGTGCGTGGCCTATAATCCGGCACTGTGGAGGCAGCGAGGGTTAATGGCTCGCGAACCAACGTTGTGAAATCCCCTTGCCATGGGCATCGAAGAGGTGCCCATACCCTGGCTTGCCAGGGGAAGGCCGGTACAGCAAGCATGTGGGCTACACATAGTGTAGCATGTGGGCTACATAGTGTAGCATGTGGGCTACATAGTGTAGCCCACATGCTCCATCTATTTGGGATAGAGTGTTGCTCCCAAATGTAAAAAAGTAATCGAGTGGCAGAAAACAATATATATAGAGGACCGTAGAGCTTGGAGCGGGAATTTGTCATCGGCTCACTGCCTGGCTACTGCCATTTCACTTGTCTGTGGTTACTTCGCATGCCTCTGAGTCCTCCTCTGTGTGGCGGTGACGCAGTGTTACGAAATGAAATTAGTATTATTCAAATCTGTAAACGATGAGATCATCCATCGCAACAGAAAAATTAAGCGCAGGCCGGCAAACAAGAAGATTCTATGGCACACAAATGCAGACTGGGTGTTCAATAAGCTCTCAGCCTTATCACGTTTAGTTTTATATAGCAGCGTCGTTCATGCAAATTGCATCTCGCAATCGCCGAGAAACCACAGGAGAACCAGGCAGAGAAGCTGGTGCTTCCAAGGTGCTTTCAGTCCTCTACATATTGAGACGTTTTGAGCCGTTAAATGAGTGTTCATATATGTCGGAGGAAACCGGAGCACCCAGAGAAAACCCACATGTGTGAGGGGGCAACACTCAATCTCATACAAATGGGACAAACGGAGATTTGTCTGCACTTTGCTGTACCGCAATTAGATCGTTTGACTGCTATAAATGTCCACGTGATAAGCCACTTCGTTGAAGTTAGCATATGTGGTTCGGTCGCTCCTGAAAAATAACTAATAGCTCAGTGGGCTTTACCTGGTGAAATAAACAAAGTTCACTTTGAGTTTATAGTGATTTGCTTTCCTATTCCATACTTTTCACTCCTATCGTTTTTTTGTATTGAGACTTGCTGACGCACCCAAACTGGACATCTATGAAAAAGAACTTCATAGCTCATCGTATTTCTCCAGAATAAATAAAGATTCTGATTGTGATTCTTCCGGCAAGCCAGGATGGCACCTCCTCTGTGCCCACGGGAAGGGAGTTAGTTTCCCAACATTTGTACAACCCACCAACCCTCGTTGCTTCCACAGTGCTAGATTTCAGGCTTGCGCCACCACCGCCATGGCCTTAAGCATTTATTTCAAAACTACTAGTTCCTGAAGAACTGCATTGTGGTCATCTTGTCTTTATTGGTCACGTTTGCTCAGTGTGATGACGACTCAAGATCACTGTTAGTATTGCATAACACTTTGTGTGTTGTTGAAACTTTACCTAATTATGGATCTTTCATGATCTTATCCTTGAGCTCTATTAGCCAATGATTTTATTTTTGTGAACGTTATTGTGAAGTACCCGGGTTGCTCCTCGTGAAGTGTGCTCTATTAAGCAAACTGTATCAATAATAATGATAATTGTTAGTAATTTAGTACGTATATTCATGCCATTTTTGCTATGATAGTGATACAGAGTTGTTTTTGACGGAGCCGTCCTCCTTTCCGCCGGTCCGTCTCAGAACGCTTTACACACCATAACATCGCTTCCCATCTCAACACATTTGTATGCATATATGTTGAACTTCTTTCACACCCTACGTAGCCAACCGTGCTAATGAGGTTTGAGAGCGCACCCCCCAGTGGTAGCTGTCCCTGTGCGGCACCAAGTGACTCAGCACCTGGCTTGCAAGCAGACATTAGTCTGCCAGTAGAGGTAGTGCGATGATTGGCAATGTGTGTACAATTCTAATTCCGTGATTTGCGGCTTAATTTTTTTCGAATTTGACAGATCTGGACCGCGACACAGGCACACGATGGCCTACTCGTTCTGTACCGCTTCACGGAATCTTAAATGTCCACGGTGAAGCAGACGGCGCGTACATTACGGTTAATACACCCGCAGTATTAACCAGGGAGGCCTGCCGATATTGAACCGCGAACCTCTGCGACAAAGCGGCGAACCTCTGCGACAAAGCGGCGAACCCGCTGTGCCACGTCAGCGCAGTGCGTTAGGCCGTTGCACTCTCCGCGTGCACCTGGTAGTTGGTAATCATGGAAAGGCTGCAGTCTGGTGAGTCTTGAAGTTGCGGAGGATGATGGTCTTAACCCTACGTGTGTTCGTGTTTTGCCAGATGATGACGAAGATGCCATGGTTAACAGAATATCGTAAGTTTCGCACTTATGCATCGCATTCACACTTGATGTTAACAACTCGTGCACGGCAGCTTGTCCCTCTGTGTGTGTGTGTCTAATGTGTGTTTGTGGGGAGCGGCAGTACAGTGTCATTAGCACGCTGTGTTCCGAACCCGGCGAAGCGACTTCGATACCCGCTTATGGCTAACACCAGTGACGATTATCTGAACTGGTCGTGGGGCCTCCCCTAGGTCGACTCGGCCTCAAATAAGCACCTGGTACGATGTGTAAACAACGCCACTGGGAAGACAAAGGTGCACGCTAACAGCACTTTCCCAAACAGTCTGTTCAGGCAACATGAAGGACCTTTATTTTTGTTTGTGTGTTGTACGCGTGTGCTGTGTGCTTTGCATGTATGTGTGTTGCATGTATGTGGGCTGCTCGTGTGTTGTGCGCACGCGGAGTGTGTCTTACGTATGCCGCCAACGCGCCTTCGGCATGTCACGCCGTCTCAGACTGCACCTAGCATGGCACAAGCACCGTGGTGACGTTACCGTCGCTCAACGACGAACGGCGTTTGTTGTTGTTGTTGTCGCTGTGCCCGCGTGCATCCCTGCGTTGGCGCAGGCTGTGGCTCTGCACGTTTACGCTCGCCATGTCGCTGGGCGCGGTGCTGCTGCTGCCCTTCTCCATCGTCAGCAACGAGGTCCTGCTCTCCTTCCCGCAGAGCTACTACATGCAGTGGCTCAACGGCTCGCTCATCCACGGTGAGCGCAAGCCGCCCCCCCCCCCCCCCCCCCCCTCACGGCGTGGTGCGACGCCATACGGAGGTTGTGGCCCGACGGGGAGAGATTCCTAAAGGAAGACGATGGTGGTGGCTGTCACGGAGACGACGATGGTGATGATGATGGTGATGATTGTGGTGATGATTGTGGTGATGATGATTATCTTGGCTGTTGATGATGATAATGAGGAGCGTGATGTTGACTCTGATCATGGTGTTGCAGATAATGATGACGATGATGGTAACGGTGATAATGGTGGCGGAGGTTGTGTTGGTTGTGTAGCGGCTGCGCTACGAACCCTGCGACCTGAGTTCGATTCCTGCTCACGGCCAACACCAGTGACGATTATTTGAACTGGTCCTTGGCCTCCCCTTGGTCGACTCAACACCAAATATGAGTACCTGGTGTGGTTGGGGAGACGAAGGCGGCCGGGCGTGGTGCTGGCCACTCACCCCCTCGTGTGCCGTGTTGGCCTTCATAGATGCTCGCTAATAGCACTTGACCCCACTGTCTGTGAAGGCTATACGGGGGATCTTTGTTTCTGGTATATGTTGGAGTAGACATTAGTAGTTATGGGAGTGATGTTGGTTGTCGCTGTGCCGTGACGGGCGACGATCTGCGTGTTGACCATCGTGTGCATTATGGTGATCCTCAGGGCTGTGGAATCTGATCTTCCTCTTCTCCAACCTCTCGCTGGTCTTCCTCATGCCCTTCGCTTACTTCTTCACGGAGTCCGAGGGGTTTTCCGGCTCACGGAAGGTGAGCTGCAGACTCCCACTCCGCTCCTCCTGCACTGCGAAGTCAAAGGTCCCCGTGTCAGCCTAATGTCAGCGTGTAACACCGTGCCAGCCACCGCCGTTGCACAGCGTTCGCTCGCTCGCTCTCGTAGAGAGGAAGGACGACCCGCAGGTGGCAGGAGGAGGAACCACAGGCGAGTGGTAGCAGCCATGCGGTGAGCCGGTGCCAACAATTGCCCAAGTTCAGCGGCGTTCTCAGGCAATTCATGAGCGTTTGCATGTGGAAAGGAAACTGGAGCACCCAGAAAAAACCCACGCATGTGAGAGGGGGCAACACTCTATCCCATACAGATGGAACAGGTGGAGTCCACATTTTTTTTGTACCGCCTTCTCCTGCCAAGCCACGCCCACGGGAGGGAGTTTTACAACAATTGTGTGATCCACCAACCATCGCTTAGAGGCCAAGTACATAGCCAACACCTTCCGGTTAGGGCAAGTACTGCCATTAGCACGGTTAGCTATGTATGGTGTGAAAGAAGAAGGAAGTTGAACATACATACATGTGCACATATGAACATTGGCATGGCACACAGGAGGGTATTGAGGACAGCATCACAGCCAGCCACCTTTTTTTCTCCAGCGCTGACGTTCTATACGCACCGCACCAGGTGTTGTTTTTAAACATTGCTAGGAATGAAACCTGGGTCGCTAGCTTCGTACTGCAGTGTGCTAACCACTACCAACCAATGACAAACACACACACACGGGCGCCCTTCCCGTCTATTCCAGGGTCCCTCCCTGTATCACTCGGTCCCACATGTCCGTCAGTAACTAAGCTATTTGCATGATCTGGGTGTAGTTTGACCGTAGTCGCATGTTTCCTCAAGTGAAGGCAAATGGAGAGCCCATGGAGACGTGAGTGTCTTCGAGACAAGGCCAGTCTAGGTTTCAAAAGCGTTGTGGTCAACGTGGACAGAAACGCATTGCTGGGCCATGCTGCTGCTGCCGCTTTGGTGCGGTGCACAGTCGGCAACAACTCAACACGTTGCTCAATAGCGCTGCAGCAAAAAGGATTTCATTTATTATTTGAGGTGACGTTTTGGTAATTTCCCTTCATAGGAAAGAGACGGGAAAGGCCATGACCCAAGATGTAGCCGATTTATATATTTCCTTTTAGGTCATTGTTATTGTCGAATGTATCTCGATTTTGTTAATTATTGACCCATCTTCATCTTCAATGGCATCGCTTCAGGCAATGTCCCTTCTTTCATGTGCTATGAAGAAGGGCTATTGCTCAAAACGTCTACTGTAACATTTTTTTTTTTCCTTTTAAGGCCACGGTGTTATTGATTCGAGCCGTGTTGAGTGTTGTTAACCATACAGGGTGGATTATCAAGCCGTGCGGGAAACCTGAATTGAATACAAATTCGCAAAAGTCGTGCGTATGCACAGATTATGTAATGCTTCCCAACACGCGTTTGTCCTGAGGATTATGTAATTAGTTGTCATCATTAACGCTGGGTGGTGGCACTGGGTGTGTTGACTCGGTGGATAGCGTGCTTCCGCTATGAACCCAGAAAAACCGAGTTGGATTCTCGGCCCGTGGCTAACATCAGGATATAAACATGTGACCCAGCGGTGCCTCTCAAGTACCTGCCTGAATCAGTGTGTCTGACTACTAAGTTGATATCTGAACCGGTCCTATGCTGAGCACCCCACACACACCCGGCCCCCCAACCTCCCCACCCCCACCTCCTTTATCAACCAACTCTGATCAGCCTTAACAGACTGTTGGGGCAAGAGCTGTCAGCGAGTAGCACCTATGAAGGTCGGCACGCGATACGAGCGGGTGGGTAGACAGCCCCGCGCCCCGCCGTGGGTGCGTGTGCACGCTGTGTGATGTGTGCGTGTGATGTGTGTGTACTGTGGGGGGTGTGTGTGCTCTTTAAGGTGTTGTACAGGCTAACAGCACCTGCCCCTACAGTCTGTTAAAGGCTATTCACGGAGGATCCCCTTGCCTCTTGCTGCAGGGCATTGCGGCGAGGCTGTACGAGACGCTGGTGGTGCTATTCCTGCTGTCGCTGCTTGTGGCTGGGATGGTGTGGGTGGCCTCGGCGCTCATCGACGACGACGCCGCCAGCAAGGAGTCTCTCTACGGTGCGACCGCAGCTTTTCCACGTGACTGAGACGCAGCGCGCATAGGCTTAGCGCTCGCTGTCCACGTGACACTTGGATTAAGGCCTTTCTGCGCTCGCTGCCCCGTTGGTTATGGGGGGCGGGGGGGGGGGCTTTGTTTGACCATACTGACACAGATAAGAGATATTGGCATTTTAATTGTATTGGTACAGAAGGATGCTGCATCTAAGAGTGACCCAATTTAGAAGTGAGAAAAAGGTTGCCCATAGAAGAAGACAACCTGATGATGATGATGATGCAAGATTTGATGAGAAGGAAGCTGGCACTATCTGGACACATGCATGATGGACAACAACGATCGTATTAAACGTGTGTAGTTGTTGGGAAAAATGGAAGGAGCTGGAAAGAGAGGAAGACCTAACAGAGAATGGTTTGATGACGACGTAAGAGATTGGTGCCATAAAGATGTGGCACTACTTGAGCATATTGGAACAAGACAGAGGAAAGTGGAAACAAATAACGAAATATTGCAGTGGACACCTACGGGTTATCTGCCCATGGATCATGGCGATGATGATGAAGATGAATTAGGGAGCAGATACACTTTGGATGGTGTGGGTTTGATCGTATTTCACCATGCTGGTCTGTGTGCGTCGATAACACTGGCCTTGAAAGGAAGAGTTTATAATCGAGTGAACGTTTTGAGCAATGACCCTTCCCATATGGGGAAGCCACTGGAGCTATGCACTTTTAAATCCCGATTGAAAACTCATTTCTGAGAACGGTATTCTTAGGTTTTTTCGGTAAAGTCACGTAGGTAAAAACATTAAAAAATAAAATAAAAATCACCACCTTCTCCAACCGTTATATAAACGGAGTGGTAGCTCCTGCAATCTCTCATTTACTTGATACAGCTGTCGTGGCTGTGACGGTACCACCTGAAGACGGAAGCTTGTGTTGCCTCCGAAACGTCGTGATTTTTATTTTTTATTTTATTTTACTTTTTAATGTTTTTACCTACGTGGCTTTACCGAAAAAACCTAAGAATATGAATCATTGCAGTCACGAAAGCTTCAAATCTAGAATTCTTAGAACGGATTTTTGTGTTTAGTTTGTTGTCCTCCCGCACGTCCGATTAGCGCGGTTGGCTATGTAGAGTGCGAAAGAAGTTCAAGATACATACAAACATGGAAAGGGCAGAGAGATTGAGATGCACTGGATGGGAGGCATCGTTTACATTATCGATGATTTATACAAATAGGGAATAATAGATTCTCCAACGCATGTTGTTGTGCGTATATGATGAGCATGAGACTAATATCAATGCGTTGTGACAGTGTCAGCACCTCCTGATAAAGGAGTTGCTGATCCTGGGATAGGATGTGCTTCGAACGTCTCGGAAGAAATTAAATTTCTGTTGGCCCGCCGTTTCTACTTGAGTACGTGAATTAACAACACTATTGAATGCCATCTGTGCTTCACTATAATACAGATTCAGGGAATTATAGCTTGGTGTCATGGCTGGTCCACTCCACTTGCAATCCATCAGATGCCAGTCCGATGCTTCGGTGTGGCAGTTGAACAAAGTAGACCCAGCAGTATAAACCGCATACCACAGGTGGGGTAAAGTGTGGGTACTCCCAATCCCCTTCAGAGACGTCTGGCCAGCGTGGAAGAGTAGACCAAGATGCCCATCCACAGGAGGAAATTTCTCGAGCTCTCCCTAGTGGAGGCACCTTCCGCCAGCAGTGGCCTAAGAAAGGAATTACGGGACTGTGCCTTTACCTTGGCTACCCTTCTCCAAGGATTGTAACGATGCTTACCCAGCTGCCCGGCATCATGTAAAAAGGATGCAGAAGAGCCTGGCGTGGAAATCGAAAGCCCCTCAGTTTCCTCGGTTTCGTTTCCTGCCGCCACCTTCGCCACTTCCTGTTTTTGTCACCGGGTTTGAAGTTTTTTTTCTTCTCTGCTGCCCTTTATTACACCGCACACACTGAGCACTCAGTGCTGGTCGTTTGTGCTGACGTACGTGCACGCGTGCGTCTATGCATGATTTAAAAACAATAATACTTTGCGGCAGAGGTCATGTGAATGCTGGTCACGCGAACTATAAAACAATGTAAAACACCAGTGGGGAGCGATATCTAAATCAGTCCTTGGCTCCCTCTCCTCCAATTTCACCCGCACTGACCAGTGTGGTGAAGTATGGTTAAAACACTTCCCACGACCTGCACAGAGTGGCGGTGTGGGAGGCAGGGTCTCATCCGGCAAGTGGTTTAACAACGGACCGTATCGGGCTTTTGAATAAACTAAATCCATGCGACCATGGGGAGAACATGCAAACTCTAAATATACAGGCGTCAAGGTCGGGATCGAACCCACGTGCTCCTGTATACCTGGAGAGGTAGTTAACATTTCGCCACCGTGGCGCCCGGTGGCTATATTGTGGCAATGTGATGGCTCGTTTACTAAACAATCCTATTTTCTCACCCTGGATGTGTGTCGGTGATAATCACCATTGTGCTGAACTGTGTGCTCAGAGTAGGGATCTCTGGACCAGACTTGTGTAAGGAATTACTTCATACACAGATGATGAGTGATTACAATGAAAGTAATGTTAATGAATCCGACAGAAGCATTATCATTGAATTATGTCTTGTTAGTATGCATGCAGCAATGCATTCGTATTCATCGTCATAATCCACTGCTGGATGAGGCCTCCACCTAACGCCTGCGAGACAAGCGGATTTCGTCGCTCCATCTCTCACCGTGAATGTACTCTGGGGCATGTTATCTCTTGTTCATTCCATCCATCCATTAATTTTTTTTTTAAATCGATTCTTGTGCTCACACAACATTCATCCAATTGCGGGTGTGAGAATTTATCTTTTGCTATTTTGTGCGAATTATAGGGAAAGTGCTAATATACATTTGGACTATTGGGCTTGACGACACGTGCAGTACAAATGAGACGGGCCAAATGACACGGAAAACGCAAACTAGCCGGACTTTACAAACGAGAGACATGATCAAACGAGACAGAACAAATGAGACCAACAGTAGACAACAAGGCAGACATAACACATTTAGATGGACAGTACAGACACGACACGTACAAAATAAATACCCAACAGAACAAAGAGGAATGATAAAAAGGCTTTATCCAATCTGGTGTAAATACAGGAGGTGTTAATATGTTCAAACAGCAAATAGATACCAATTACAAGGCACATGTCTGCACAACCACATGTGGTAAGAAATTCAAACAAATATGCTTTGATTGTGTTTGCACTGTCTCGTAACTGCTTGGCCTGCATCAAAGACAGCCTCATTTGTGGCATTGTACCACCGGTGCTGGGGCAGAGGCCACCAAAAGGCGAGTAGAACAAGGGCAATGCAGACACCAAATTAATAATAATAATAATAGCTCGCGTTCAACTGGAGTATCTGTGGGATCATTTCGCCATTGTCATGAAATTAAATGATAAAACGGCTTTACCTTTTCTGACAGGATTACAGGTGTTACGACGTTCAAACACCTCATATACACCAAATGCAAGGCATCGTATCTGCGCAACCACCACGTACTTGCGGTAAAAATTACATAATTCGTCATCTTAAAATTGGTGAAAGGGTCCCATAGTTAGAGAAATCGGGACACGCAGCACAAACATAGATGGGCAGGACAAAGGAAACGCCGTAGAATCCGAATAAGGACAGTGGATTTGCGTTTATAAATCACTTAAATGCCGCAGGTATCTCGAAGCAACTGTGAGTTGAATCGCGAGCCCCGTTTGTGACGGTTTATCTAAAGTTGCCGGACGGGAAGAGTTGTTCCAAGCCGAATGAGAATGCTTTGTTGTTGCTGCTGCTGCTGTCGTATGTGTGTGTTTTGTTAGATTTCTGGGAATTTTACCTGCCGTACCTCTACTCGTGCATCTCGCTCTTCGGCGTGCTGCTGCTCCTGTGTGAGTCCCTCTCGCGCCCCTCTCACATTTCTGGGACGCTGTCGACAAGGGACATCCGGGAGACTCTCGAGGGAAATGTGGTGGGCTGGCAGCCCACCCAATCACTCGCCCCGCCCATACCATGAACCGCCTCCGGTCTTTCTGTCGCCCATGATTAACGTCAAAGGCAATTGTCTGAACCAGTCCTCGTCGACTCAGCCTTAAATGAGCACTTTGTGTGGTGTCTAAAACATCAGCACTGGGGAGACAAAGGCAGCCGGCCGTGATGTTGGCCACACCACCCACTCGTGAGCCATTCAGGCCTTCATGAGCCACACTGGCCTTCATAGGTGCTGCTCGCTTAGAGCACTTTCCCCAATCGCCTATTTAGACCACACGGCGGACCTTCGTGATTATCCTTGTGTGCATGTGTGTTTTTGTTTGTGTGTGCGTGTGTGTACGTTGTGGCGAGCGGTAGTTTAGCGTTTAGCGCGCTGTGCTAAGAACCCAGCGATCCAAGTTCAATTCCCGCTCACGGCCAACACAGGTGACGATAATCCGAATCAGTCTTGCGACTCCCCTAGATCGACGACTCGGCCTCAAACGAGTACCTGGTGCAGTATGTAAACATCGCCACTCGTGCTCCTGGCCACCCCACCCCCCTCGTGTGTCATTCCAGATTTCATAGGCGCTACTCGCTAACAGCACTTGCCCCAACAGTCTGTTAAAATCTCTATGGGGGATCTTTGTCTTTGTGTGTGTACGTGCGCAGTGTGCACCCCTCTGGGCCTGTCGTGTATGTTCAGCGTCACTGGTCAGCTCCTGGTGAAGCCTCGGGTAAGGTCACTCGCTCGGCTCCTTGAGCCCTTTCCCTTCTGTTTTTCCACCCTCAACTCGTTTGTCAACACCGACGTCAATCGCTGTGCCACGACAGATGAGAGAGAGATTAGCGTTGCCGATATCACGAACCGAGGAGAGAGCTCGCCTTGGGATATTGCCCTGACGGTCTCCGCGTCGCCCGTTGACGCTTGATGGGGGATGGTTTACGGGACGTTATTGTGGTGCACTGTTTCGTTTGGCTTTAAATACTTTGGAATGAAAGTACAATGCTTTGGCACACACAAGTGGTGACAAAACCTCGTAGCAAAACAGATTTTACATAAGATGAGATGAGACCTTATTACTTTCATAGATTATTATTTTTTAAAGATAATTTGAGGTCTCTTCTGATCTGCGGTATTCTGTCCTATCACTCATTAGACACGCACTTTAAATTGTAATGGTAATAAATGTATTGATGGAATAAAATGATTACCACTTCATAGCCAACAGTGTTTGTTTAGGTTGTAATTATGCATATATTTGCTCTTTAATTGTATCTTTACCATGGGTTCATGAAGCATGCATTTTTGCATGTACTGTATTACGTACATGCATGTACACATTGATGGCTACAGGAAACACAAAAAACCCATCACGGAAAATTTAACTCTGCACATTCCACTTGGCTAAATTCCAGCTCCGTGAATTAAAAACAACGGATCGACTGTCATGCGAGAAACACACCGGCGGTAGAGACAGGTGGGGAAGTGCATACCCTAATGTGTGAGCCAGGCATCACTGGACGGGATTTTAGAAGTAGTTATGTGATTATTCTTTGGTTCTTTCGGTAAAGTCACGTATAAAGATACAATAATAAATTAAATTAAATACTAGCATACGACGTTTCGATTGCAACACAAGCAATCATCATCAGGTATAAATTAAATAGAAACACAAATCTAGTAGACTTAGACATGTAATGTAATACAACAGAGAGTCTGATAACATAACAGTCAACACCCTATCTGGTTGATTACGTTCTTCCTGAGAATGCCAGATAGGGTGTTGACTGTTATGTTATCCTACTCTCTGTTGTATTACATTACATTTCTAAGTATACTAGATTTGTGTTTCTATTTAATTTATACCTGATGATGATTGCTTGTGTTGCAATCGAAACGTCGTATGCTAGTATTTAATTTAATTTATTATTTTATCTTTATACGTGACTTTACCGAAAGAACCAAAGAATAATTCCTGCAGTCACGAAAGCTCCAAATTAAGTTTAGTTATGTGATTTACACTTTGACGGGCCGCTCTCTAACGTGGGGGGCGGGATTGCACTGCTCCATGAGAATTCTTCATCCCAATCGGGAATGCAAATCGCACACAGCGAGGACACTTCCCTTGCCGCGGTTTGGTAGATCGCACAAAATTCCCATCAGCTTCTGATCGTGCATCTGCCTGCATGGAAGTTGGGTTTGAGTTTCCGCCGCTCAGATATGAGCCCAATCACATCCCGACACTTGTCTTTAGCCAATGGATATCGGGAGACATATGCTACTATTTATGTGCAAATGCTACTGTAAGATATGGCAGCAGCAATATGTTCATGAGCTAAATAACAATATTGCGGTCTGCTAGCCATAATGAGAGGGTTGCAGGAGAGAGTTTATGTAGTTTTTCTATTACTCTTCCATTGAAGAAATGCAGAATACTTGATTTTATGTTTGGGTTGCATGGCCACACTGGTATCGTGGCTTGTCTTTAATGTATCGCTATGACTCTGTGTATCTCTATGCATCTCCCTGTATCTCTATGGGCCTCTCTGTATCTGTTGGTCTATATCTATGGGTCTCTACGTATCTCTGTGTCTCTACCTAAAACTATATGGTTTGTAGGTTTGGTTCGCATGGCCACAATACCACTACCGTGGAATGCTTTTAATGTTCCATTCACGAAGGAGATGTGCACATTGGCCTCCTGATGTTTTAACTCCCTCGATGGTCCAATTTTGGTCATGTCATCCAGACATGCAAAGCATGCTGGAGTTTTGTGTTTTCTTGTCAAAGACAGTTCTTCGCATATTAATAGTAATTCGCTTCCATTAATAAGAATCATTCGAATAATGCCAAAACGGAGCCCTTCACCCGGTTCTAATGGCCTTACGCTTACGTGTGGATTGAACCGTACGACGTTCGATTACCGCTCGCTGAAGAAAATTCGCAAATTCCCGATCTCCTCACCGTTCAGTCTGTGAGCATGGGTATCTTGATTTTAGCACTCTGCAGCAGTGAGTATTGGTAACCACACGGTGTTGATGAGTCCTGAATAAGGATGAAACCAGTCCACAGTTGTCATTCGCTGCTGCTGTCAGTCGGTCACATTTGCTCGAATAAATGTTGTTGGTGACCCAAGATTATATCACCACAATGCAGTTGTTGAAGAACCGCTGATGGTTTTTGCATATGCACAGAGGCCAGCGTGCTGTCTACATGTTTTTTGCACGTCGCTTGAAACCGCGTGTTCTCTCTCTCGCCGTGTTTAAAACGGGTTCACGCTGCTAGCGATGATGTTCTTGTATCGTGAAAGTGATGGTGACGTCGGTGGTGGTGATGCTATTTGTTAATGATGTGGATGTCCCACAGTTGTTGGAGGATCTAGACGAGCAGATCGACTGCCAGAGGTTTGAGGAAGACACCATCAAGAGGCGTCTAAATGGTGTGTGCTGTAAGATGCTTGCTCTGAAGGATTCATTGTACCGGTTGAGCATCGCGTGTTCATGTGGAGTGGCTCGCTGGCTCGTCAATATCCTTCGTTCGAAGCCAGTCCAGCCGGTGTAGCAAATTGATGGTCTCAGCCCTTTTCGCACTTGGCAGCAAAATATACCATCACATATTTAATGTTTTTAATCCAAACTGAATTTGGTTAAACAATGATCATGCATTGTCACGCAGCGAACGTTACCGACTGCAGCTGAGCGGCTTGCAAGGTCTCGCCACCCACTGTGTGCGGATCACGGCGTCATTTGAAGAGTTCTCATAAGTAGTTCTATGGTATCTGCTTGCTTTCTTCTTCTTGGTTCTTTCGGTAAAGTCACGTAGAAGGGAAGTAATAAAAAATAAAAATTAATAATTCTCACGACGTTTCGGCCACAACGCAAGCAGCCGTCCTCAGGTGAAGAACATGTCTGTCGATAAGACAGAGTCTAAATCATTTAGACTCTGTCTTATCGACAGACATGTTCTTCTAAATAATTTAGACTCTGTCTTATCGACAGACATGTTCTTCACCTGAGGACGGCTGCTTGCGTTGTGGCCGAAACGTCGTGAGAATTGATTTTTTATTTTTTATTTTTTTATTTTATTACTTCCCTTCTACGTGACTTTACCGAAAGAACCAAGAAGATGAATCCCTGCAGTCACGAAAGCTTTAAATAGAAATTTATGCTTGCTTTCTCTAACACAAAACGGTGGCTCTGCTGCGTGAGATATTGGCACGGGTCGTTTGTTTCGCGACGATACACAGAGTACACAATTGGGATAAAAGTTTTGGGGGAGGGGGAATAAACAAAAATAAATTACAAACAAATACTTAAATTGATTCATAAATAGGGTTATGTTTTGTGTGATGGAGTCGAGTTGGTTTTGTTTAAACAGGTGAGAATTCACGAGACTAGGCTGGAGTATCCTTTACAAGGGTTACCTGTACATGGTCAAGTTTCCGAATGGCAAGGACAACCTGCACCACAGTACAGTCACCATAACAAATTTCAGAATCTTTCTTTATACAGGAAGAATCCAATGAGCTTTCAAGCTCTATTTCAAGAAACAACAACCACATTTGAAACTTAAATTCTGAAAAGCAGAGCAATCAATAGGGCGACCATTGTACCAATATGTAAACATACAATGTCAGATGCAAGCGAGGTTATCGCCAAGAATTGTCGGTTTCAGCATCACCGCTTGCAACGCGTGCGATGCCGCTACGTCGTTTGTGCCACTGGCGTGTGCAGGCACCGCGTGCCAGTGGGTCAAGGTGGACCAGCAGGAGCTGGCTCAGGCTCTCAGCGTCATCACAATGGAGCGCACAAAGCTCGGTGAGGATGCACATGAGCCTTGGCTGTGGCGAGGAGATGTTATCTCCATCGCCTGTTACGCAGAAGGTTTTGGGTTCGATCTGGGACCCTGGCGATGTCTTTTATGTATTTGGAGTTCTCTCTCTCCCCGTGGTGGTCCCAGCGTGGATCGCTGTCCGAGTTCCTTCTCCGGGTTTTCCCCCCTCCACGTTTAGGAACAACGAGCGCTTAGATTATTTGGCTGCTGCTGTTAATTCCCACGTGTGATGATGAGATACCATCACGTGTGCCCAGGTCACCCCTTCTAAAAAAAGAGATAATTTCTCAGTGGGCTTTACCGTGTTGAATAAATAAATACGCGGCACCCCTCGTGTATAAAAAAACTGTGTTCGTCCTTGAGTCTTGTTAGTCAGTCAGAACTAGCCTAAGTACTTGCCGGTGTGCCCAGTTGAACAGGGGCTTATTCTGACGGGATGGAATCGGGGACCTTTGATGTAAATGATGAGTTGCATACGATGACCTATGCGTATGATGACCTTTTTAGCTGGTCAACGAAATCACGACTTAGAATGTTCAGCACAAAGAGGGTGACTGGGCCGTGGGGTCGGGGAAATCCTGATGAGGCTTTATACCACGCTGTAAAGTGCAGATGTGTGCAATGTCTAAATGCGACCATATCTCAAGATGCTGTACACAAACGGCCAGCACGTTTATTTTGTCCAGAGAAGCAATGGAGTTCATCGCAAGAGGAACAAGGACTGCGAGCCTGGGTTTCAACAGGGGCAGGGAGTCAATCGCATGGACAGTTAGGGGAAGGGAGTTTCAGGCCACGGGGTCAGCAGAGGAGAATAAGTTTTCTCCAACTGGGCGAAAGTTTACTGGGGGCTTCCACAGGGAAGCATATTTTTATCATCTCCCTTGCTTGTTGATCGCCTAGCGTAGCGTGTGTTCCATTGTTTTACAATCGCTCTGTTCATGCATGGATTAATACAGGTGATAGGGGAGTGTGTGGAGAGGAGTTGAGTGAGATGAGAGGGGAGCGGTAGAGTGTGTAGAGTGAGATGATGGAGAGGTAAGAGAGTTCGTGGAGGAGAGAGTGCGTAGAGGGGAGTGGAGTGAGATGATAGGGGGAGAGGTAGGAGAGTGCATGGAGAGGAGAGTGTGTGGAGGGGAGTGGAGTGAGATGGTAAGCGGAGGGGTAGGGGAGTACTTTAGGCCTCTCCTCCCCCCTCAACTCGCTTTTAAGGGATTACATCTTGAATCATTGCCTCACTTGATGCAGCTAATCTGGTTGTGACGGTCCCACCTGATGACGGAGACTTGTGTTGCCTCCGAAACGTCGTGATCTTTATTTTATTTTTATTAATTTTGATGTTTTACCTACGTAACTTTACCGAAAAAACCTAAGAATATGAATATGAGATCACGCCACCCGTAGGACACGGCCGGTACCGGCTTGCGATGTTACATCCGGGCCTGATCAACTCGTGCTGTGCTAACCACTGCACCGCTGCTAACTCAGTGGTGCGCAATCCCTTTAGAGAGAGTGTGTGTGTGCTTGTGTGCGTGCGTCTGTGCGCAGAGACACGGCGACGAGCATCTCCTTGGCAGAGAAACCTGGGGTACCCGCTGGTCATGCTGCTGCTGCTGACGCTGACGGTAGGCCAGAATCCACCTGAGCACAGCGATCACATCCCGTGGCTCGGTCCGATGACCGCGTTCGTTTTGCCGCGCGGGCGAGCAGTTTCCCACCGCTGTGTCGGTCTGCCTCTCTCACTCTACTTTTTCTTCTCTCTGCGCTCCTCCAGGGGGTCTCAGTGCTGATCGTCTCAATCCACATTCTGGAGCTGCTCTTCGACGAGACGGCCATGCCGAAAGGAGCGCAGGTAACGGATACGTTATAGAGACCAGGCGCCGCCGCCCCACCCCCTCCCACCGCTGAGGATATGCACCTCTCAAATAGTAATGATAAAAATCATAGCGATTACATTCTTTAGTCGTCTTCTTCGTACGGCTGATACTGCCATAGAGCAACAGCTGTAATTTAACATTGATGTGGTTGTGCCGGATGATTGCGTCAGGAGCAGCGGAGTGGCGTATCGCTGTGATGATGCATTCTTCGTATTGATCTCTGTGTGAGTCTGTGGTTCTCTATGTGAATATATAGATATTTCTGGGACTATGGATCTATTCTTAATACGGATGATACCTATGTAAAGCAACAACTATAATTGTACATTGAGGTGGTTTAGCCAGATAATTGCATCAGGAATAGCGGAGTGGTGAATCATTGCTGCTGTCATAATGACGACGCCTCCTCCTTGGTGGTTGTGAGTCGGGCACTGAGTCTGTGTTACGCGTCCTTTGGTTCTGTTCTGGGTAGTGACCACCGTCTCCGCACACTGCCCCCAGAGTTTTCCGTTGTTACCGTTTCTGCATCGTCATCAAGTATCTGCATCTGCCATGAATTTTGCAGATGTGGTTTAGTGCAATCCTGCTGCTGCTGCAATATTGGTAGTGGCGCACGAGCAGAATTAACAGAAAAACTCGACATGTCTGTCAATAACAGTGGCCGTAAAAGAGAATGTAAATTTAATATATATATTGTACATGAGTGAGGTTTTGAGCAACGGCCCTTCTTCATAGCATGTAAAACTATGAACGCATAATGCGGATCAACGTAAAACAATGAAAATCCAAACAATTCTAATTAAATTTTGTGCAAAGTGGTGACGCTGGAGCCACTGAACAAGAACGGCCTGGGTTCGATTCCCGTCTTGGGCGCTGTTCTATGCGTGGAGTTTAACGTTCGCTCTCCCCCGGTTCTCTATGGGTTTCCTCCGGGTTCTTCAGTTGCCTCCCGTGGAGGATAAATAAAATAATTAAATAAACTGGACCATTGGCCACAACTCCGAAATGCTGAAAAATGACACTGCAGAAGACTATTGGGATTACACACTGCAAACCATTGCTTCCCTCCTGCGAAAACTTGGCAGGACCCTGCTCTAAACAAGTTTGGAAAATTCCGTGAGGTTTTCTCCAGGATTAAAACGATACCAATGATAATGACAACAACGATAACAATATTGTTGGTTCTTGCGGTAAAGTCACGTAGAATGGAAACAATAAAAATAAAAAAAAATAAAAAAATTCTCACTGCGTTGTGTTGCAGTCGAAACGTCGTGAGAATTTTTATTGTTTTATATTTTTATTATTTTATTATTTCCCTTCTACGTGACTTTACCAAAAGAACCAAGAATATGAATCCCTGCAGTCACGAAACCTTTAAATCAAAACGATAACAATGACAATGATAACGAAGACAACAATGACGATTACCACGATAAAGATAACAACGATGATGATGATTACGATAACGACGACAATGACAACAACTGTAACAATGATGATAATGATGATAACGATAATAATGATAATGACAATGATAACGATAACGACCAGAACGATGACAACGATGATAACGACGATAATGATGACAACGATAACGATAAGCGTTGTAGCGTCACGTTTCCCTATGCCGCCCAAACACCCTCGCGTGGCGCCGATCTCACAGCAAGTTGTCTCTTGCAGGAGCGTGGCCTGGGCAAGGCGTCGCTGTCAGCCCTTGGATCTGTCGGAGCCGCTATTGAGGTCGTCCTCATCTTGTATCCTTGCCCAGCAAAACCGCCACCACAGGGCTGCTCTGCCACTGTCACTGCCACCCCTTACCAAGTACCATGCCATGCTCAACAACGTCGTCAACAACAACACCAGCAGATGGGTGATGTTGGATCTGTATATTGTACAAAATCAGGCCTGCCTGCTGAGCGGTAGAGCGAACGGCTCGCGATCGGAATGTGGCGAGTTCAATTCCTGGTTATGGGTTGACTGAGCCCAACATCTATCCACGGCCAAAAAAAAGAGTACCACTTTGTGGGGAGATCAGAAGTAGTTGTGCAATGGATGGACTTTCCCCCTGCCATATGAATGTGGAATCTTCACCACTGGCTCAGGACTGTAAACAAATGGTCACTGCCTCAGTGCTCATTATTAGCAAAAAATCACTCGGACTCCATTGCTGGATGAAGGCCTCCCCGTAGTGTTCAGTGGTGGGGGTTGTTTTGACCATACTGCATCGCGCTGGTTGGCGCGGTACAGTGAAGAAGACGGAAGTGCAGGACCGGTCCGCGGTGTCGCTCGCCACTGATGTTAGCAGGCGGCTGGGGAACGAAATCGGGCCGCCGGTGTCGTAGCGCAGTACGCTAACCACTGTGCCACCACTCCGCCCCTCCCCCAGTAGTATCTTTATAGAAGGACCCTGGTGCAAAGTGTTCATGGCAAAAGTCGTGCACGCACGCGACCCCGCGACCCCGCGACCCCGCTAGGAACGTGTTTACAATTTAATGAGGAGAATTGTAAGATGTCAATCAAGTTCGCATAACTAGAATTCCGTTCTCCTGCTGTGAAGACACAGAAGTGCGATGGAATTGCAGTTATGCTGTTGAACTTCAACAGATCGGCTTAACTTAGAGTGGGTAGGCCTTCTTCATTGGCAACCTGGAGCCAGTTGTGGAAATTCCACATTCCATTGGCAGGAGCTGACCACTATTGGTGCGTGCGCCTACCAGGTACCGCCCCAGTCTTGTGCTGTCAAGGTGTTTGGGATCGCGGTGCCCTGTTGCTCCTTGACCGCCCCTACAGCTACCTGATGCTAAGCTCGGTGCTGGGATTCTACAGCCTGCCCACGTTCATGCCGCTCACTCCCAAGAGCCAGGACACTCCCATGACCAAGGTCTTCCTTCCCCTCCACCCTGCGTCCATCGTTGTCCACGTCAATTGTAATCCTCTCAGTTTTTGTATGGCCGATGAAGGGCGATGATGAGAGCTTTTTTTCTAAGTAATTTTGGTGCTTCGTTTCTCCGTCTTGAGAGTTGCTAGAATTGCAGATATACCCACCGACCCACGCGCCCACCCATTCACCCACTCACGAACTCATCCATCCACTCGCGAACTCACCCGTCCATTCACCCACCCACTTGCTCACCAACCCACCAAGTCAGAATTGGAAAAACAAATCCGGAGCAGCGAGCAGGCCGTAAAACAGCTTCTGGGGCCCCATTCCCCATCAGATAACCCTCCACAATGTTACCGCGAAAAGCAGCGCCTGCTGCTACTGCTGCTCATGTTGCTACTGCTGCTCCTGCTGCAACTGCTGCTACTGCTGCTACTGCTGCTCCTGCTGTGTATGCTGCTCATGCTGTGTATGCTGATCCTGCTGCTCCTGCTGTGTATGCTGTGTATGCTGTGTATGCTGCTCATGCTGTGTATGCTGCTCCTGCTGTGTATGCTGTGTATGTTGTGTATGCTGTGTATGCTGCTCATGCTGTGTATGCTGTGTATGCTGCTCCTGCTGTGTATGCTGCTCATGCTGTGTATGCTGCTCATGCTGTGTATGCTGCTCCTGCTATGTATGCTGTGTATGCTGTGTATGCTGCTCATGCTGTGTATGCTGCTCCTGCTGTGTATGCTGTGTATGCTGTGTATGCTGCTCATGCTGTGTATGCTGATCCTGCTGCTCCTGCTGTGTATGCTGTGTATGCTGTGTATGCTGCTCATGCTGTGTATGCTGCTCCTGCTGTGTATGCTGTGTATGCTGCTCATGCTGTGTATGCTGCTCCTGCTGTGTATGCTGTGTATGCTGTGTATGCTGCTCATGCTGTGTATGCTGATCCTGCTGCTCCTGCTGTGTATGCTGTGTATGCTGTGTATGCTGCTCATGCTGTGTATGCTGCTCCTGCTGTGTATGCTGTGTATGCTGTGTATGCTGCTCATGCTGCGTATGCTGTTCCCGCTGCTATTGCTGATCCTGCTGCTCCTGCTGCTCCTGCTTTTCCTGCTGCTCCTGCTTCTCCTGCTGCTACTGCTGCTACTACTGCTGCTGCTACTACTGCTGCTCCTGCTGCGCCTGCTGTGTATGCTGCTCATGCTGCTACTGCTGCTGCTACTACTGCTCCTACTGCTGCTCCTACTGCTGCTCCTACTGCTGCTCCTGCTGTGCCTGCTGCCGCCCTGCACGGTTGACGTGAGGCCATGTGTGTCCACACACCGCTTGTATAACACCCCCACCGGTGCTGTTGGCGTCCACAGATTATCGGGAACTGCGTTTCTCTGCTCATTCTCAGCTCCGCACTGCCCGTGCTGTCCCGCACACTGGGTGAGTAACCGCGGGCCGCTGGTCGACCGATGGGAGCCGTATACAACAACCGCCATTCGCCACTAAGTGGCGGTGACATCACCACGACGCTTGTGCCAGGCTATGTGGATGTTGAGGCCACGTGAAGTGTCGAACGCCCGCTGGCAGGAGGTCACGGGGCAGACCCAGGTGCCACTTGGTCCAGACTGTTATTATGATGTCATGTAGGACAGTCTGTGCACAAACCCCACCCTCCCTCAGCATTTCGCTCATTTCTGCCCAGTGTCTCTCCTGATCTCAGACTCTGGATCGCCTTCAGTACTTCCTCAACAGATGGCACCTCAGCCAGCCACTCACAAGGGGTGATTTCCTCTTCCAATATTTGCAGCACCGCAGCTTCAGCAGGGTCATCCCCACTTTGTTCCATGATGTTTTCCAGGCTGAGGGATTTCCCCTCCCCCAGGACCTCACAGAAATGCTCAGCAAATCTGCGAACTTGTTCCTGGGGGTCAGAGATTGGATCACCGTTCTTTCTCCTAATGATGGTAATAGGTGTGGTACTGCAGGTTACTTTTTGATGGAGTTAAAGAGCGATTTGTGATCGCAAGCCATTGAGGCGGACTCCATCTCCTCAGCAACCCGTGACCACCACCCATCCTTGCAGCGCCTCATGGCTCTCCGAACCTCCGAGCGAAGGCTGCGGTAGGCCTCCTCATTGTCTGACGTGGGATGTTGTCGACGATGAGAGTGGGCCTGTCGCTTTGTCTCAGCCAGTCTGAACACCTCCTCCGTCAGCCAGGGTCTCTGGGGAGGTCTCGACCGTGTACCCAAAGCAGTCATTGCAGCTGCATGAGCCACAGTCCTAAACCTCGCCCATTTCCCCTCGACATCAGGAGGAGTGGGGGACGATGCCAACCCCAGCCGCAAGCTGTGATGAAATTCTCGCTTGTAACTTTCATCAGCTAGCTGAGACCATGCCACTATGGGTTTGAATGGGGTCCTGGGTGTACACCCACCACCGGAGTGGAAGAATGACAGGCGCATCTTACAGATGACAAGTCGATGGTCAGTGGACAGATCAGCTCCATCGTAGGTCCTGGTGTCAAGGACACAGACACAACAATGAGCGGAGCACCGGGCGGCTTAAATACAGCAAGTTGGCACAGTAGGGTGCACAGGTGGTGCATCGGCCAATCATCTCAATTAGTCAACCCATGGCACCTAGGTCTGTCCTGTGACCTCCTGCCAGCGGGTGTTCGACACTTCACGAGGCCTTAAAGTAAAAATAGCCTGGCACAAGTGCCGTGATGACGTCACCATCACTTAGTGGCGAATGGCAATTGTCGTCGATATATAGACGGATACATGGGGAGCGGTAGTGTAGTGGTTAGCGTGCTGCGCTACGATCCCGGCGTCTCGAGTTCGATTCCCGCTCACAGCCACCAATACCAGCGACGGATTATCTGAATCGGTCTCGGGCCCTCCCCGAGATTGACTCAAATGAGTACCGGGGTGCAAACATCGCCACTCGGGAGGCAAAGCCGGCCAGGCGTGGTGCTGGCCACCCACCCCCTCGTGTGTTGTGCCGCCCTTCATAGGTGCTACTCGCTAACAGCGCTTGTCCCAACAGTCTGTTACAGGCTACACAGCAGATATTTGTCTATATAGATACAACTGTATTAACAGAAAAATGACATTGTTTCCTTGAAAACCAAATTCATCCCATGTTACAGTTTGTTAAAAACACATTCAAGTGACTTCCTACTCAAATGAGCATTCAAGGCAGTGCCCATCTCCCGTTTACAGCCCTGCAGAGCCATTGGTGGAAATTCCACGTTTCTGAGGCGGGTGGCCAACACTTCCATAGGACAACTCACTGTTGACTTCTGCACAAAGTGGCACTCGTATTAATGACACCTCCAGGGTTCCGGTGTTCTGGCATTCCGGTGTTTCGGTGCCATGCGCATTTCCGGTGGCGTTCCGACGCCGCCGGCATTGCGGGCACGGCCGCGTCCACCACTGTCGCGGGAACGTGCGAGGGAGCACGTTTTTTTGTTTCTCTCTCTCCTGTTTGTGCAGGAATCACCAACTTTGACCTGCTCGGAGATTACGGTCGCTTCAATTGGCTGGGGAACTTCTACATAGTACTGCTCTACAACCTCTTGTTCGCCGGGCTCACGACGCTCTGCCTTGTCACCAAGTTCACGGCCGCCGTGCGCCAGGAGCTCTTCAAGGCACTGGGTAACGGATATTTATATTTAAAACAATTATTAAATGTTATTTGAATATTTTTTTTCTCATAGTATACATGTTGTTTGTATCTTAAACTGTAATTCTTCATGATCTTATTGTGTAGTTGTAATGTCAGGTTACAACCACGTCGTCTGTGCTGCTGTGCAGTCACCTGGGTGAAAAGTGGGCGCTTAGCTTTGCCCAATCCTGGCCAGTTGACTCAAAATCTTAATAAAAAAACCAAGTGGCTAACTTCTTCACACACATTGAGTCTGCCTTCCTGCTCCTCTCATTCTTCTCCTGGTCCGCTGTCTCCAAGTCTTCTCCAAAGTCCTTCACATCGCTGCTGCTCCTGGTGTCTCCCTCCTTCTCTTGTCTTCCCCGTGTTTTTCTTTCCTCCTCTTACTCTCTCTGACATTCTCCCCACTCATGTCGGCTCTCCCTTCCCAGTCCTCTCTCTCACCACTCACTGCTGTCTTGAGTTATCATCTCCACGTCCATACCACAGCCTGTCACATCCTGGTCCACCGCTGTGAGACCGCCTCTAACTACGCCTGACTCTCGGCCTCCGCCCGGTTGCATCGCGCTCATTCAGACACGCTTTTGCGGCCGTTTGGAATGTTCTTCCGATATTAGGAAGTCACTGGAGCTATGCATTTTTAAATCATCTAGATAAAAAACTAATTTCTTTAGAAGTGATTTTTGTGTTTTGTTTGTTTTCTTTCCCCTCGCACTTCATCTCCATATGGGTCGAATTAATAGCGTCATACGGGTCTTCCTCTTCAACACAGTCGGAATCTTTCTGTCGCACGTCATCGCGTCACCCCACAATATAGGCAGCAAATTACATTATTCGTGTAAGTAAAAAGTGGGGGAAATCACTCCCCCAACACGATGTACCGAGCAAATTCGGCTAATTATCACAAGGGGACCGCGAGTTGACCAGCGGTAATGCACACCGTGGCGGTGATTAGCTACGTACGTGCATCGTGGAACCCTTCATCCACTGCTGGATGAAGGCACTTTTGCCCAGAAAGTTTGCGTCGACAACTCGCGGGGGATCTTTGTCCATGTTTTCGTCTTTTGCCTTCCAGGTCTGGACAGGCTGCCCATCACGGCCTCAGACGGGTCAGGCCAGAGGCATTCCACCAACGGGCACAGCAAGCAACTGTGAACTCGGAACCGCGGTGAACTCGGAACCACTCACGGGGCAGCTGCCCCCCCGGGCGCCCCTATCGTTACCTCGCCTGCCCTGTAGCGGAGCGCGAGAGGCGAGCAAAGTGCGCCGTCGCGGTCGTGCCGCAAGCGCCCGGGATGGGAACGAATCGGCCCGGCGGCACTTTTCTTCGCGGACGGTATAAGAGCGTTGGTGACGCCGCGGCCGACTGCCTCGATTTTCCCGAAGGTGATGCCGCTCTGAAAACTCGGCAAGGTAAAATTCGCCAAGTGCCGTGGTTTTTAGCGGAGCGGCAGCTGCGTCAACTTCTGGGGCTGCGTCACGCGTGGCACACATGCACGTTGCATGCGTGTCATACGTGCGTGCTGCATGCGTGTCCTGCGTGTGTGCTGCGTGTATGTCACGTGTGCGTATCAAGCGTACCTGTTACACGTGTGTGCGTGGCGTGCGTTGTGTCGCACGTTCTGGAGAGGGTTTTCATCGTCTATGTAGTTGCAGTTTTCAGACTTAAAAAGCTTGACTCGTAACTTCAGAAAAGAAATGTTTACACGTCTTTGCCTTTACGCTAGCGTGAGTCTCAGAAATTAGTCGCGCTCAGAAAGATGAGCGTCCTTTTGTGTGAAAAATTGTCGCCGTCCTTGGTGTGTTTTTTTTTTACGTTTCCTTTCAAGCGTTCGCACAAGAAACGTGCGCCCGTTAAACTGGAATTGAAACGCGATCAAACAAGTTGTTGACTTTTATAATCCGACGAATCCAGTTCGTGAAGCGGCGGTGTGGACAGACGCGCACGCGCCTTTGCCCGGCGTGGAACAAATACATTCCTGTTTCATTGACTCTCTGTCAAGGAATTTCAAAATCGGGCAAAATAAAATCCCTTCGTTGGCCTTTAGGAACCGCGAGCGCCACCGGCTCGCACGAGTCATGGCCCATGTACTCATCTCCGTCAGCAGCCCTGAGCCAGTGCAATAAATACCACGTTCCCACGGCGGGTAGGCTTGAGGTGTGAACAGCGTCCAGCCTTTCCACAGGAAAAAACAACCCCCGCATTGTCAACCGCAAAGGGACGACAATCGGTGGACCACTCACCAGGATTTTGACCTCGTGACCAGGCCCTGACCTTCACGTTGCGGGTGCAGAGGTCTGCCACTGCGCCGGCACGGAGGATTTTCTTAACGCGGTGACGTCTCTACGTGAATCCATCCACGCACTCATTCGGTCATGCATTCGTTTATTCATTCGTAGTCTCGGCACATGAGCGGAGTAAAGCGGTGTGTGCTCACAGCACCCGGCAGGTGCCGCGATGCCGGTTGAGCGCACCTGACTGATGCCGGGCTTGCATATACAGTCACCACGTTTCCTGCGTACCGTATACAGTCACTGCGTTTCCTGCGTACCGTATACAGTCACCACGTTTCCTGCGTATCGTATACAGTACCCGCGTTCCCAACGTTCACACGTGCTCCGAATTCAGCGCGTGCGCCGCAGCTTTTGTGGACTTATATTGTTTTTTTTTGCTGTGAAATATATGATCTAAATATATGCAAAAAGCAATATTGAACATTTAAAAGAAAGCCAATTGAGGAATGCACAATTCAGCTCTCAACACCCGATCACGGGCCGTGCCGTTTTACAAACATTGGCGATTTTTATTCAACAGTTCCAACTCGCTCGCAATTTTATGCACGCCCCCAGCCCCCCTCCCTCCCCCATAAAAGGAAACCATAGGACACCCCGGACGCGGTGTATATCCACCCACGTCAATCGAAGGACGCACCACTGCGAGCACAGGTTTCCCTCCTCGCTGTGTGCGGCTGACCTATTTCTACCAAAAATTTGCTCTGCTATGCGGTGTGAATTCACTCTGCGTGCGGCAATGCGGTTGCACCTGGAGCACCATTGTGTGTGTGTACTGTACACGCTAATCGACAGGCAGCTGTCCCCTCGTGCGGTTTCGCTTAGCGCTCCCTTATTTGTTACCGCATAGAGTGAGGGAAACCGGCAGTTGGACACTGCGATGGGCACACGGGGGGACCCCGAGGAAGCTTCCCCCCACACTGGCGATCGTCCAGCCGGCATTTGTGAGCGGTGTGTCTGCCGCGCAACACCGTGGTTTAGTTTGTCAGCGTTCGTAAGAACCGGCCAGTTTAAATTTTTTTGTGTTTAAGTTCAGAAATGCGTCTTTGCTGTAGCAGTCGGCGGCTCCCTGCTTGGTCCCCACCCCGACCCCGCAGGCCCCGCCGTAAGCCACCCTCCCACCCCGCCCCTTGCTTCCCCATGCTGTCTGCTTCACTCGGCGCTTTTAAGAAGTGGTTCGTGCCGACGGATGATTCGCGAGCACGCAACGTGCCCCATGCGGCGGCGGTGGTCCATTTCGAAGAATTATTTAAAACGAACGAGTGATTGCCCTTCGTATTTGTTTAATGAAGGGCTGTTTTATTTCATGTTTACCTGAACTGTGGAATTTTATTATTGGAAATCTTTGATGCTCGGGATTCTTCAAATGCTCGCGAGGCTCCTCGTTGTGTCACCAGCGTCCTCCATGGCAAGAGGCAGGCGGAGTATTCGTTGGCTTCTGAAAGTGTGCACGATTTGTAGCGTGACCTCGTTTAAAGTGCGATGGGGAAGGAAACTCATAATGGGGGGCATGACGGGGCCAGTATTAAACAAACTTTGAATAAATGTTCTCACGTGGCAGAGCGAGTGGGGAGGTGCTGCCCTCTACCGCGAGTGTCGCTTGCAGAAGCGATGTCAGAGGTAGTTCCATCATATCCACTTCTGTGGGCCCGTTGTGCAACACGAAGGATCGCGCCGCTCAGCGAGTGATCAAAATAGATGATTCATCTCATTACGTGACGCCGATAGCACAAGCAGGGTAAAATTAGGGGGAAATTACAAATCAATAACATGCTTCAAACCATAACAAATTTTATATGGGTGGCAGTGTGCCATAGCACAATAGTAACATGAGTGCATCACAGCAGGGGCCTAGGTTCAGTTCTCAACACGGACACCCTTCTGCGTGGAGTTTGTAGGTTCTCTCTCCCCCCTGTTCCGCTTGGGACTCCTCCAGGTTCTCCGGTTTATGCTGAAGAATTATTCGCAAATATCTCGAGTGGGATTGCACACACAGCAGCAGCAGCATCGGCACCCCCTCCCCCGCACCCGCAGCGACAACTTGGTGGGACCCTTGAGACTTGGCAAGACTTCCCTGAGTAAATGAGCTTAATAAACAAATAATAACAACAGGAAGAAGGTGGCTGAGCCTTTAGTAGGTGGTGGGGGGGGGGGGGGTGCTCAGCCCCCCCATCCTTCAGGCCCTCCCACTACTGGGAGTGAGCGGTGGTCCACTGGTGATGGCATCTTGGGCTTTAAGTGACGATGATGATTGTCCTTGAAAACCGAACCATATCAGTCATGGAGGCTGCTTAATCATACTTCAACATGCTGGCTACTGCTGTTGTTTAGGAACCTTGATATATATCAAATACATATCTGAGACAATATGGAAAAACCACTTTGTGCATCAGTTGACCAAAATTAATTTCTCACAGAACCGGGACTAATTCTATCGACCCGGCGGGGATGATGGACAAAGTCGAAATCTGACCAGGAAATCAACTCAAAAACCGTTGAGGTTGTAATTAAAATATAATCTAAACTAAAAACTAAACTAAGTTTGTTTTACCAGGTAAAGCCCACTGGGCTACGTAGTTGTTTATCAGTAGCGGCCTGGCCACAATGATAGCTCAACGAAGTGGCTTATCACGTGGAAATGTATCGCACCCAAATACTCTAAATGTACGTCGATTCTAAATGTTGACAGAAAAACTGGAGAACCCGAATAAAAATCCACGCTCCCACAGGGAGAACATGCAAACTCCAAATATGCAGGCGTGGTGGTCAGGATCGAACCCACGACCTCCTTCATACCAGGTGAGGTAGTCAACATCTCGCCACCGTGCGAGTGGCACAAGCTGAGCATAAACTAGGCATTTTAACGTTACCCTGGTGTTGTATTTCTAGTTGCTTTTGTTGTTGTTACGCGATCTTTCTGTTCTGGTGTTCGGCCCCATTGATTTGCGCCTTGGGGTTCTGACGGCGGCACTGCCCGTCACCTCGCAGCGCCAGCTTTGTGGGTTCGTGTCTGGCCACAGCCGGGTCATAACGCCGCAGCCCCCATCGGACCGGTTTGAACTATTAAGTCAAAACCTCGAAAGCAGAGGTGAGGGGGAAGCCATCGTCGGCGTGACTTCATTTCACACGTGTCCCGGTAGCACCAGGCCTACCGGCTCCGCGGACGATATTTACCCGTCACTGCAAGCATCTTAGCGCCACCGACCGAGTACCATTGGGGGAGTGTACAATATTTTCGATCTAATTCCGTGCAAGTGAGTCTCTCCCTGTGCCTCCTTCGTGCCTGCTGGTCGTTGGTTGAGATGCAATTGATTCAGAGGATTTTGTGTTGTGCCCCCGGGTAAACTTTCTAACCTGCATTTATATAGAGTTTAAAGATAGTAACCCATGCTAGCTTCATCTTGGTAGCCCTAATCGGGTACTGGTGGGAAATGCTTTCGACGTGACAACACTGTGTTTACAAATGTACGCTGCCGCTGTAACCGATCCGTGTGTACGTGTGTGGTTGCCGCAAAAAGTTGTGTGAACGTTCTGTTTGAACCAGAGTAAGGAGAAGGTTCCCCGCCCCTGGTTTCCGAAAGCCGCCATTCGCGCACAAGACCTGAGGGTGAGTTGCGCACCTGATAAGGGTGTGACGACTGCAGCGCCGGGCTTGCGGGCGGTAGCGTTGACAGCGTCCCATCGGGGCGGAATGGTGCGTTCACGAGTTCTCTCCGCGGGGTTTCTCCGCGCGTTGTTTCGCATGACGTCCGACGTTTCGTTCCTCGTGCTGGGCGACCAGACGGCGCTGTAGAGTTCCACCGCGACAACCCCACTCGGTGTTTGGTTGCCGTCTGCCGAGGCGCGGCGTGACGTTGTCGATGTTTGGATAGCGGAGGCGGTGGATGGCCTGAGCTGTTGGTGAGTGTTAAGCCAGGGTCCACGCCCGAGCTATTCGGTTGTACGCAACCAAAGTTGCAACGTGTTGCGAGCAGCTGCTTAACCGGTTGCGAGCAGTAAAGGCTGACTCCACTTTAGAGCAACGATCTGCTCGGCAGAGATTGATCACGTGACACATTTGCGCACTGCGATGAGCCGTTTCTCCAGATGTTAAGTTGCACGGCGATTTCGAATCGAGAGCGAACTTGGTTGCACAACCCAATCGCCCCGGTGAGTGGAGCCAGCTTCAGGACCGCGGTTGCTCTGCCCGCTCTGTGTGTGCGCGTACACACGCACGTACGCGCGATGACGCGGAACCTCTGCTACCCCTACCCCCCTTCTGCCCCCTTTCCCGTCGCGGCGAAGGCCTTTATTGTGTAAGCTCGATCAGCAATAACGCGTCGTTGCGTGAACGACGCGGTCTCGTGCGTGTAGTGCACATGCCACTCGTGGCTGCGCTTGTGTCGGCAGCGCCAGGGACTTCGCGTTCCACTTTGGACACGGCCGTGGTGCGGTCCGGTGACAGCCCGTCGGCTGAAACACTGGTTCTTGACCTTCATGTCTGTTTGTTGAGTGTGCTTGTTTAACTTTTTCCTGCTCCCAAAAACCAAAATGAATAAAAATCGGAAGAACTTTTTGTAAATTCAACAGAACCCATCATTAACGTCAATAATATTTACTTGTGTACCCAGCAAAGCTACGCCGAGTTGCCAGGATTTATTTTTCACGAGGGTCGTACCAAATTGTTGTTTGGCCAGCGCCAGTGACGTTGCATGTATTTTTAGCTTTGGGAGGAAACCTGCACGGAAGAATCCCTGGCAGAACAGGGGAAGATCACGCAAACCTTGCACCCGACAGGAGGCGCGAGTCGGTCATCGAAGCCAGGCCGTGCTTTGCGGTGAGACACCGTGCCGTGTGGCAAGAGTAGCCGGTGAAACCGGGAAGTGAACCCCTACGATGAAAGCTGGAAGCCGCCGAGTGCACTGTGCTGGCTCACAGCTGGTTTCAGCGATCAGCCGGTGACCTATATCATACTTGCGTAACAAAGTCCAATAGAGTACCAGCATCGATCACCGTCACCACCGCCACCACCAGCACTACCACGGCACTGGACATTACACGGGAGTGCTCACAGGGTTAGATACCGTACGACCAACAGGGGAGTTGCCGTCACGTCCGCCGGCGCTCTCCAGGAGAGCTGGGACGAAACTCGTCCACTTGTGAATCGGCTCTCACACCTGCGCGGGAAATCCCTGGGGTCGTGGTAGTGGTGGCGTTCGCCGACCTCACCTGTTGAAGTGAGAGCACAAATCGGTTCGTGACAGCACTGCCGCGCTGCCAGCGGCGCTGCACAAGCACAAGAAACGAACCCCCCCCCCCCCAAAAGAGGGACAATAACGTAACAGGCGACGTTTCGGGCGATGGGCCTTCTATCGTAGCGTAGTAGAGACATCGTGGCGGTGTTAGTGACGGATGAACGTGTTGAGCTTTTGCAGGAGTGAAGATAGAATCGTCACACCGTCTCCGTCTCTCTCCGACCATCTCATCTCGTTTACTTTGGCTGTGAAAATCACTGCAAGAAGTTGCCACCAAGAGTGGACCGGGGCACCGCGCACGTTCAACCGGGGCATTGGTGCCCTGTCCAGCCGTCAACACCCCCCGGAGCAGCTCTGCCGGGGCGGTTTAAGTTGGCGGTCCTCGAGAAACATTGGTCCAACAAAGACTCATGGGCACCGCCAGGGGAGACGGATGCTAATAACGATTCTGTCGACGCATTTCAGCTGCACATCGCAACTCTGCGCGATAGCAAGGTCGCCTCCGAAGCTCTCGGTGAGGCAATTGTTGCTAAAAGAACCTACCGTGGTTTTCTTTTATCGAAAGAATATCTGTTTGGGGATCACACCCAATGTGACATGAAATGAGCACAGACTGGACTTAATAGGAACTGTGCCCTGTGCCTGGTGCACACTGCCCATGTTGAATGTTGCCCATGGTAGACATTGGGGGCCGTCCATAAATGACGTCACGCGATTTTGGACGATTTTTGAACCCCCCCCCTCCCTTCGTCACACGGCGTCACAAAAAGTCAGACCCCCCCTCAGATATGACGTCACAAAGCTGCCCCCCCCCCAAAAAAACATGCTTCAAATCGCTTTAAACTATTGTCATTGTAGTGCGTATTTAATGTGCCGCTGCACTCTGATGTTGTAGGAGAAAACATTAAAAAGTCTATTTAATTAAGTAGAACATGTTTATTTATTTAAAGTTGCGCATTTTGATGTGACGCCACATTTCTCACCCACCCCCCCCCTCGTCACACATCGTCACAAATGTCTGACCCCCCCCCCCCCAGGTGCGTGACGTCATTTATGGACGGCCCCTTGGTAGCGATTGCCACCCCAGGTGGTGTCGACCAATCCTCTCGACCATTATGAGGTGCAGAGTTGGCCCGCCTCCAGCACCGGCATCTCACGTTGAACATCGATTCTCATTGGCCAAGCACCACCTTAAACCTTGGTCACCGCATGCTTGGCAGGGCTGTCGAACACGATGGATTTGTTGTTGTTTGGTTGTTGTTGTTGGTTGTCTTTTCCCCGTGCGAATTTATCACAATTAAAAATAACCGTGAATTATGATTTTTGTTCACGTGTGCTGTCCGTTTGCGATCGTTGTGTAAACACTGTGACCTTGCTTCGTGTGCTCTTGTTGCCGTGTAAATACTGTTGGTGCATCTGTTGTTATTACAGTTTTATGATTCATTTTACAAGGCCGCTTGTGTTGATTCTCCGCACGCGTGCACCTGCACACAGCCCTCTGTAGGTCCACTGCCTGATGGTTAAATAGCCCCCCCCCCGCGCCGCGACCCACACACGCAATGTTGTGGATCATGGGGGCAGGGGGGCTTTTTGACCATACTTCATCATGCTAGTTGTGGGAGCATAGAAGTACATTAAAAACAGATGGGGACCGCTGTGAGCGGAGCTAATGGTGTGATGGATGAAGGAAGGTCCGGATACGTGATATCAGGAGCATTCTTGCCAGTCCATGCAGAAGTAGCAGTTGCTTGAGTGATCGGTGGGTTCTCGCCAAATTCATTTATTTCACCCATGACTAATGTGTCAGAGATTATCGCAACATTTCTCATTTATATATTTTTCCAATAACATTGAAAATTGTAAAAAAATTAAAATTAAAAACTTGTACAAATCTTTTTTTTTTTTACTAATTTTATAACATAAAATTCCGAGCAACAATTGTCCATCTTACCTTCCAGAATGTTTTTTGCATTGATCGCAGGTGAAATGAAGTGCCCAGGGTTTGTCTTGATCCCTGACAGGCATGCCGAAATATGCCTTGTAGGCCTCACACATCTTCGCAGATGCTTCCACAGAGTACTTTTTCGCTCTTGTCTTGATACATTGACCACAGACATCGCAAAATACGTCTGCCGGATGCTTGTAGCCTATTGATACATGTCATAAAAATGCAGATATGTATCTACTTAGGCAGCTGGAACTAAACTGAACTGGTGGGCTTAAGGCCCCTGTATTTATACTACTATTTACATTACTGGAGAGTTCTAAATGTTCAAGTTTACTCGGCACTGAATGTATCTGGAATGTTCTGGAATATAGGTAAATTTCTAAATATCACTGTTCTGGTCATAAAAGCAAAGTTTGTGGGGAATAATAGCCATTTTCTGTACTTTTGAGGCATAAGCAATTAGGAAAGAACACTACCCAGGAACAAAAAAAATTGTTACACTGTAATTATTGTCAACAATACTCACTAATAATAATTATCATTGCCACTTGTAACACGCCGCAGTCACAGTATCCACTCGCCCTCGAAGGGAGAGAACTACTCAAGAGGCGAGAGAACGAATCACGGGTGAGGCTGCAACTCCGTGGCGAGCTGGTGCCAATTTTCCAAAGCTCTGCGGTCCTTTACATATGGAAGGCGTTATCAGCCAATTGATGTGTTTTGTAAAGTGTTAGAGGAAACCCACGCGTGCGCAGGGGGAACACTCGATCCCAGTTTAACACGTAGGCTTTCGTGACCAATGTCATCCAGAATAAAGATGTTTTGGGTTAGATCGCGTAAATATATAAATGTGTCGTTGAACCTGCCACCACCACCCGAAAGCCAATTAATAAGGTTTGTCACGTAAACAGAACATGCCAATTCGTTACTAGTACAGCACACAATGCATTTAAGCAATACTTCAATTTGGGATTACCGTTGGTACGGTTATTTTAGTGTATACAATCGACAGGAAGTACAACAACAATGAGCTTTCATGATGTGCATGCATAATGTACGTTGATTAAAATAAATAACCCAGACGGCAATGGATAACCATAGTTATACACATACCAATGGATGACAGTATTGCCCAGGTCGATGTAGCTCTTAAGGGTTTGGGACACATCGCTGCAGACGTGACAAGATCTGAAATCACTGCAACCCTCAAAAGCGCTAAGATACCAGTCAGTAACATCAGTAAGGATGAGCGTTTTGAGTTATCTCAATTTAAAAAGAGGGATGATATCGTCATCCTCACAGCCGACAAGGGCAATGCCACGGTCATGGACAAAACCGTGTACAATAACAAAATTGAGGACCTACTTAATGATGGTAGCTACCCAAAATTTTAAAGAGATCCCACCAACAGCCTCGTTACAAAAACGAACAGTATCATCACTGATTCAGCTTCATTGATTGAACAGACCAAACGGTTTTCCTTAAAACCTTCTGCTGCTAGACCACCCAGATTATATGGCTTACCAACAATCCACAAAGAAGGTCTCCACCACTGGCTCACCCGCCTACAAACTGCCCGATAGTTGCCTGAGACCATGCAGCCATTCACTGGCAAGACCGCCTCTTCTTTTCTTAACTCCGCTCACCTGGTATCATCAATTAAAGACATCTCACTGTCCCCAGGTGATTTGCTCGTTAGTTTCAATGTAGTTTCTTTGTTCACCAAAGTTCCTGTGCCCGATACCATTGCGATCATTGAAGATTTGGTCCAACAAGGATTGAATGTACCGGCCCTGGTGAGACTGCCTCACCAATACATATTTCACCTGGAATGGGACATTCTACAAACTGAAGGCACCCCAATGGGTTCTCCGTTATCTCCGGTTGTAGCCAATATTGGCTCACGGAGCCCTCGCTGCTGTCTCCACGTTGCTGGGATTGCAGGCGGCCAAGCCCGGCCAAGATCTTGGCGGCAGCGTTCGTAGCAGGAGGCTGTCGCGCCCCGATTCTTTGGGTCTTTCGGTAAAGTCACGCAGATCGTTCACGAAAGTCACGAAAGCTTGAGGTCAAGATGTCTGTGGGCCCGTTGTGCAACACGAAGGATCGCGCCGCTCAGCGAGTGATCAAAATAGATGATTCATCTCATTACGTGACGCCGATAGCACAAGCAGGATAAAATTAGGGGGAAATTACAAATCAATAACATGCTTCAAACCATAACAAATTTTATATGGGTGGCAGTGTGCCATAGCACAATAGTAACATGAGTGCATCACAGCAGGGGCCTAGGTTCAGTTCTCAACACGGACACCCTTCTGCGTGGAGTTTGTAGGTTCTCTCTCCCCCCTGTTCCGCTTGGGACTCCTCCAGGTTCTCCGGTTTATGCTGAAGAATTATTCGCAAATATCTCGAGTGGGATTGCACACACCGCAGCAGCAGCATCGGCACCCCCTCCCCCGCACCCGCAGCGACAACTTGGTGGGACCCTTGAGACTTGGCAAGACTTCCCTGAGTAAATGAGCTTAATAAACAAATAATAACAACAGGAAGAAGGTGGCTGAGCCTTTAGTAGGTGGTGGGGGGGGGGGGGGGTGCTCAGCCCCCCCATCCTTCAGGCCCTCCCACTACTGGGAGTGAGCGGTGGTCCACTGGTGATGGCATCTTGGGCTTTAAGTGACGATGATGATTGTCCTTGAAAACCGAACCATATCAGTCATGGAGGCTGCTTAATCATACTTCAACATGCTGGCTACTGCTGTTGTTTAGGAACCTTGATATATATCAAATACATATCTGAGACAATATGGAAAAACCACTTTGTGCATCAGTTGACCAAAATTAATTTCTCACAGAACCGGGACTAATTCTATCGACCCGGCGGGGATGATGGACAAAGTCGAAATCTGACCAGGAAATCAACTCAAAAACCGTTGAGGTTGTAATTAAAATATAATCTAAACTAAAAACTAAACTAAGTTTGTTTTACCAGGTAAAGCCCACTGGGCTACGTAGTTGTTTATCAGTAGCGGCCTGGCCACAATGATAGCTCAACGAAGTGGCTTATCACGTGGAAATGTATCGCACCCAAATACTCTAAATGTACGTCGATTCTAAATGTTGACAGAAAAACTGGAGAACCCGAATAAAAATCCACGCTCCCACAGGGAGAACATGCAAACTCCAAATATGCAGGCGTGGTGGTCAGGATCGAACCCACGACCTCCTTCATACCAGGTGAGGTAGTCAACATCTCGCCACCGTGCGAGTGGCACAAGCTGAGCATAAACTAGGCATTTTAACGTTACCCTGGTGTTGTATTTCTAGTTGCTTTTGTTGTTGTTACGCGATCTTTCTGTTCTGGTGTTCGGCCCCATTGATTTGCGCCTTGGGGTTCTGACGGCGGCACTGCCCGTCACCTCGCAGCGCCAGCTTTGTGGGTTCGTGTCTGGCCACAGCCGGGTCATAACGCCGCAGCCCCCATCGGACCGGTTTGAACTATTAAGTCAAAACCTCGAAAGCAGAGGTGAGGGGGAAGCCATCGTCGGCGTGACTTCATTTCACACGTGTCCCGGTAGCACCAGGCCTACCGGCTCCGCGGACGATATTTACCCGTCACTGCAAGCATCTTAGCGCCACCGACCGAGTACCATTGGGGGAGTGTACAATATTTTCGATCTAATTCCGTGCAAGTGAGTCTCTCCCTGTGCCTCCTTCGTGCCTGCTGGTCGTTGGTTGAGATGCAATTGATTCAGAGGATTTTGTGTTGTGCCCCCGGGTAAACTTTCTAACCTGCATTTATATAGAGTTTAAAGATAGTAACCCATGCTAGCTTCATCTTGGTAGCCCTAATCGGGTACTGGTGGGAAATGCTTTCGACGTGACAACACTGTGTTTACAAATGTACGCTGCCGCTGTAACCGATCCGTGTGTACGTGTGTGGTTGCCGCAAAAAGTTGTGTGAACGTTCTGTTTGAACCAGAGTAAGGAGAAGGTTCCCCGCCCCTGGTTTCCGAAAGCCGCCATTCGCGCACAAGACCTGAGGGTGAGTTGCGCACCTGATAAGGGTGTGACGACTGCAGCGCCGGGCTTGCGGGCGGTAGCGTTGACAGCGTCCCATCGGGGCGGAATGGTGCGTTCACGAGTTCTCTCCGCGGGGTTTCTCCGCGCGTTGTTTCGCATGACGTCCGACGTTTCGTTCCTCGTGCTGGGCGACCAGACGGCGCTGTAGAGTTCCACCGCGACAACCCCACTCGGTGTTTGGTTGCCGTCTGCCGAGGCGCGGCGTGACGTTGTCGATGTTTGGATAGCGGAGGCGGTGGATGGCCTGAGCTGTTGGTGAGTGTTAAGCCAGGGTCCACGCCCGAGCTATTCGGTTGTACGCAACCAAAGTTGCAACGTGTTGCGAGCAGCTGCTTAACCGGTTGCGAGCAGTAAAGGCTGACTCCACTTTAGAGCAACGATCTGCTCGGCAGAGATTGATCACGTGACACATTTGCGCACTGCGATGAGCCGTTTCTCCAGATGT